TGATCACGCGATAAAGACTCTTTATAGTAACGAGGATAAGTTAGCATTTGAGTTAAACAATCACATAAGCTATAATAAAGAATGGATGACGAAATACTTTAGCATTATCTCTCACATAGTAGAAAATCAAAGTCTTATAAATAACACATTACATCAATTATTAGATAAAGATTATATGCAAAATTACAGCCTTATAAAATACGCAAAGTTTGCTCAATTGCTGACCATCATTAGTGAAAATGTAGAGGACACATATAATGAACTTATTAATATAGAAAATGTATTAGCATTCGTACGTGCATCGAGCACACACCATGCAATGCTCAAGGTAGATATTTTAGGTAATATGATAGCCAGGTTAAGAAAATTATATAATAGGGAAAATATTTTAGACATAGATTTAAGGGAATTTTACGAGGTAATAAAACCCGCTTTTTATTATGTAGGTAAAGAAATAGTATTAGTTTTTAGAATCCCGATAGTTGTAAAGGAAAATTATAAACTATATAGATTATCAGTAGTACCCAATAGTAATCACCAAGCCATTATCCCTTCCTATCCCTTTTTGGCAACTTGCGAGTCCGCATTCGTGTACATAGAGGCTGAATGCCCGAAGTTAAGTCACGGCTATCTCTGTCAAGAAGGAATAAATCACCAAGTCCGTACCGTACCTGACTGTATCCAGCATCTCATCTTGAACCAATCTTTGAAGAGCACCTGCAAGCTGTCATCTGTAACACTGCATAAAGAAGCAATGGAGAAACTTGACGACCAACACTACATAATCTCACTCCCGAACGAGACAAAGGCACAACTTTCCTGCGGAAGAGAAGACTACACACAACTAAGAGGAAGCTATTTGGTTACCATCCCTTTGAAATGCATCTTACGAACATCTGAACTCACCATCACGAACAACAACGATGAAATAAGAGGTCAACCACTCAAGATAATGAAGATTCCTGATCTGCATCTGCAAGCTGAGGGCTCTACACACATCGAGCTGCACTCCATTGATCTAAGAAGTCTCTATCACGTACAAGATAAAATATCACTGCAGACACCAGTTCATCTCGACGAAAACCCGACTGAGATATTATACCACACTACGATATTCCCTCTACGGCGTACTATTCGGTGCAACCGCACTCGTAATCGTAGTTGTGCTACGACGTTATGGACTTACGAAATGCAGAAAAAACGAAGCCTCCGATCCAACCAGTTCTGAGTACCACCAATATGCAAGACCTACACCCCCAGAGCCGAGAACCCATAGAAATCAAGGAAAACCAAGAAAACCTGGAGATAAGGACCCACCAGCAATATTTGATCTAAAAATTCTCAGATAGTTGCTGATCTGAGGGGGGAGAAATTACATACATAGAATACAAGTAAAGCGCTGACTTCGCCCATGCAAGTGGGCCATCGAAATTATTGCCACACGGCGGAAATGCTGTCGCTGCGAAACGTGAACGCCGCGCCGCCGCGTGACCGCCGTCGCCGCGACACCAGGGCCATCGTCATCGGATCACTTTGATTCTCACATCGATCGGGTCAATAGGTTTTAAGTAATATAATAATTGTAATTTCTTTATTTCTAATTAAATTTCTTATAAGTAATTTCGGTTTTTTTTAAGACCTCCGGCTGTCCATTTCATAATTAGTTTAATATTTAAAGAATTTTTTTTTACCATTATGTTGTCTTGGCAAAATAATGATTTTTTAAAAAAAAAAATTTCTTAAATAAATTTTTTTATTGTTTATAATCGTTTTTTTTTATATTTCGATTGTTTAAATAATTAGTTAAGGAATGATTTTCTCTTTAAAAATCATAATTGGCATTTCTTCATAGGTAAATAGAAAAATAATTTTTTTTATCAATAATTTCATTGTTTGTTAACTTAACAATTTGTTATAAACAAATTCTAACTACCGTTATATTTTTTTTCTAGAGCTAAAAAAAATAACAAAAACAGCCATATATATCAAAATACTAAAAAAAAAATTTTTCTATTTTTTATAACGCTTTTAAATATTACACGATACCAAAGTTGCACCGGACACTTGATTTGTCAAGTAAAAAATTAATATAACTTATAAACTATTCGAGATACTATAATGGACATTCAGGTCGTTTTTATAAAGCATTAATTAATCTTCAAAATAAGCTAAAAACCTAGTTTGTAACTATTGTTTATCAGCTAATACATGCATTTGTTTATAAAATTTTGAGATTTCTTTAACTTTTTCGTATCTCTTATGACTTGCAACTTAATAAATAATTAAAATACAGCTATAAACCTTAAAACAATTTTGTTTAGCGATACATTATCTCCCAAATTATCAATTAATCGTACCTCCATCTCTAATTGTTTAAATAATATACGTGATTTAATTAATATTTATTTAATATTTATCTAACACTTACCTTCATTTTGTAATTTTTTAATTTTCTCTACATTATTATAAGTTATTATAGCTTCTAAGTGAAACTGATTTTATCATTTATTTAAATAAATAGTTTCTTCGATGTCATTAAGTATTTTTTTTCATATTTTTTGTAGTTTGATCTGCCGTATCTTCTAAATTTTTACATGTTAACCATATTTTTATATATTTTATTATAATTAAATAGAATTACATTTATTGGTATGAAAAAAATATTAGAAATAATATTAGGATAAAATGGATTTATAAAATAAAAGTCACTGTTTTATAATAATAATTCTAAATATATTTGAGGAAATAATACAATGCAATAATACAAATTCAAATAGTTCGTTTCCTTCTTTTCTTTAAGGGAGGGATTGCAAAACAGCTTGGTCTATCGAAGTTTTGAACTGAACTAGTTGACACCTTTTCTGTCATATTAGAGATGGAGGTACGATTAATTGATAATTTGGGAGATAATGTATCGCTAAACAAAATTGTTTTAAGGTTTATAGCTGTATTTTAATTATTTATTAAGTTGTAAGTCATAAGAGATACGAAAAAGTTAAAGAAATCTCAAAATTTTATAAACAAATGCATGTATTAGCTGATAAACAATAGTTACAAACTTGGTTTTTAGCTTATTTTGAATATTAATTAATGCTTTATAAAAACGACCTGAATGTCCATTATAGTATCTCGAATAGTTTATAAGTTATATTAATTTTTTACTTGACAAATCAAGTGTCCGGTGCAACTTTGGTATCGTGTAATATTTAAAAGCGTTATAAAAAATAGAAAAAATTTTTTTTAGTATTTTGATATATATGGCTGTTTTTGTTATTTTTTTAGCTCTAGAAAAAAATATAACGGTAGTTAGAATTTGTTTATAACAAATTGTTAAGTTAACAAACAATGAAATTATTAATAAATTTTTTTTTTTTCTATTTACCTATGAAGAAATGCCAATTATGATTTTTAAAGAGAAAATCATTCCTTAACTAATTATTTAAACAATCGAAATATAAAAAAAACGATTATAAACAATAAAAAAAATTATGTAAGAAATTTTTTTTTTTAAAAAATCATTATTTTGCCAAGACAACATAATGGTAAAAAAAAATTCTTTAAATATTAAACTTGTCTATTTGTTTATAAACAATTTCTTAACAAATGATGTAAAAAAATTTTTTCCGATGCTACTTAATGCCATTGTTGGATAAGAAAGCAGCAATAATATAACATTTGTTTAAAAAAATTTTTTTAATAACATTTCTTAGACTTTTCATTTTTTGTTATCTTTAAAAAATTGTTATAAACAAAATAATTAACTTTAATAAACTTTTATCGCGGGATCTTGTTAAGTATATATATAAGAAGAGCTCCACAGAGCCAAAAATTTATAGGTTTATTATTTAAATTTTTATGTCGTCATTTATGAAAACGGAGATAGGAAAAAATTCGTTAATTAACAATTGCATAACTTTTTGAAAAATTAATTTAAAAAATTTTTTCCAACGGGAATATATTCTTTCAAGTATCTGGATGACACCATAATTAATTTAAATTTTTAAATTCATATTTGTTACTATAAAAAAATAATTTTATGTAAGAAACTGTCTTTAACGGCAGTGCGCCCATGCCGTAATGGCTGCGCGGAGCCCTATTTTCAGCGTTAAATTAAAATTATAAATAATAGAGGTAGAGTTCCGGGAGCTGGGACTTTTTTTTCGGAAATTTCCTCCTCTTTAAGGACCTTTTTTCCAAATATCGTAAATATTAATAGTTTATGAGTTATTAACAAAAACGTAAATAACTCTTTTTTTTCATCTTATTTTGTTAATAACAATTGCAATTTTTTACGTGCAGTAAAATCCTCAAAACTCATTTTTCTAGAGGTCGTTCCGAATCCAATGAGCTATTGCTCATATTTTTAGGAGCTTTATCCCTATTTTTCACGTTTTTGAACTTGTTGACTGGACTAAAACCGTCGCGTTGTGAGTCAAGTCTCTCTTTGTTTTTGTTAACTTATTTCAAATCAAAAAGTTAAAAGCCTTTGTACTAGGTGTGTGCATTGTAAAGCAGCAGTAATTAAAACAATCTGCGGCATTAGAATTAAAAAGCCTTCTGAATGTGCTCGAGCAGATCGGCGGCAGCGAGAGATCTTGGCTCATTTGCAATTTGAATGGACTGTTCCCGAAACGGCCATATTTATTCAAATTTATTCGAGCTCGCTTTTTGGCGTCAGATGCGATGCTATGCCGATGTCTGGTTCTGCTATTCTCTTTATTGATATTGTAATTCAAATCCATAAAGAGACTGCCAAAGCTTAATTCGTAAATCGAAAACCGTCTATCACAATATCAAATATTGCTGAAGTCAAACGTTGTAGACCCTAATATGTAAAACCGTTTTTGCAATAAGTAGTTCTTTATTCGTAATATGTAATACGTTTTTGCAATATACTTATTGCAAAAACGTTCTTTTATAAGTATTCATGACTGGGAGAACTGTTTTATGGGAGTTTTTTTTTCCGATATTCATTTTATTAATGTTTCTTTTTGTTGCAGCCAAATGATCCAGAATTTTCCTCACAAATCATGGTGTACAAAGACATCGGCGAGGAGATGTTACAGCATGCTTTTGATGGTAATTAGCTATTAAGATTATAAAAAACATATTTCCGTTTTCTTCTTAGGGTTCCGTAGTCCCGACAATTAGTCATGTCCGTCTGTTTGTCTGTCCGTCCGAGTTTTCGCTTAGAGACTGTTGGCACTGGAGAGCTGAAGAGCTATGTATATCAATCACGCCGACAAAATGGTACAGTACAGCTATCATTTGAAAGGTCTCATTAAGACCATATCAAATATACACAATTATAGTAAGTAGCATTTAGTAAACGGCAGTCGTGTTTTTTTTTTAATTATTCTATTTAGGGATCACTTTGCGAAATATACAACTTTGAAGTGCTTATTCTTGTTCGAGTAGCTCCCCTCCCCTCCCCTCTTAAAACTAATCTATTACCTTGAAAATCTGGAAATTGTTATGATAATAGTGCATTCGAGAAAAAAATATAATGGTCAAGATAGATTAGTTAGTTTAATAGTCGTTCAACTTATGAATTAGAAAATTTCTTACCTAGTTAAAGTTCCTTAGAAAAACACATTAATAGTGACTTAGATGAAGTAATTACTTGTTTATAACCCGTAAATCCTTACATTAAAAAAAAACTATTTTAATAACCACAATAAAATCTCTATGGAACCCTACACTGCGCCCGGCACGACACACACTTGTCCGGTATTTTGACGTAGTTTTCATGCTACATAAAACAACCGACTCTCTAATTAATTCATTGCTCATAACAAGATTAAACAAAATGAGCAGCTATCTCATGATAATAAGTTATTTTTATGTTATTTTGTAAGATGTAAGATAAGGAAACGCTGTTACCTGCTCCATGTTGAATTGTTCATTTTCAATATTTCAATTCTACAAAGTCATATAGGTACACGCTTAATATTATTTTCCAAACATAAAGGCAAATTTTAAGAAAATGAGCTCAGGTTTAAACAGTCTGGGGAAGTTATTTACATAATATCACAATAAATTAAAATTATTTTTGGTGGTGTTGTGGTTCTGTTGGTGAATAAGGTTTCAGGTCCACGGGGTAGGGGGTTATGTTCAGGGCGACTAGACAAAATGGCTGGAGCAATTCACTTTTTTATCGCGACTGGACTCCAGTACTCCCCATACACTTAAGAGCACCTTATGTTAAAGTCGGGTATCTGAGCTTTGCATAAAAAGCCAAGCCAAGCAGTTAATAGTAACTCGGATCAGCCAACATGCGACTCCAAAATGTTAATTTGTCTTTAAATGTAGTTAAGATATAAGTGAAGAATGGTATTATTACTTTACTTACTTTTTAGTGGTTTTGTTTATTATGAAGTCGGTTTTTATTACAACGCTAAGTAGGTTCTTAAACTACTTTTTATGTTGCTTTTCTTGTGCGTGGGAATGTTAGCATCTGGCGCGTTTCACGTTTTTATACCCACGTTTAAGTCCCATCAGTGGCCCAAGCACTAGTTTTTGACAGCTCCGTAAAGTATCGTAATCAAGGAACTTATGTAAGTTCCTTGATCGTAATCGCCAATTTTGTATGGAAAAAATGTAGTTTGCACTTACGTCCGATAGGGGCGCTGTTACGTTACGGAGCTGTCAAAAACTCATGCTTGAGCTTCTGATCTGCAGTCGTCGGTTCTCACTTCTCACCAATCTGTCAACTTAGATATATACGTCGTACTGTAAAATGGTCTTTCTTATGTCCCTATGATGCTTATGTCTATAATATTACAATCAAAGAGTGGGGGACATTTATAGGTTTTCAATTACCGTTCATATTTACATTTCTCTATCTTGTTTCAGGTTACAACATATGTATATTCGCGTATGGGCAGACTGGCGCAGGGAAGTCTTATACCATGATGGGTCGTGGTGAGGACAGCCAGGAAGGCATCATCCCACAAATATGCAAGGACCTGTTCCGCCGCATCAGGCAGACGACAAGCGAGGACTTGAAGTACTCGGTCAGTATCTACAGCTCTTTTTCATCATGTCAGCCGTATGACGCCCACTGCTGAGCATAGTCCTCCCCCAAGGATCTCCACACCGATCAGTCCTGCGCCACTCGCATCCAGCTCTTTTTACTGCAGGGGAAAAACTATATCGGAAGAAATTGCTGACTGTTAACTTCTTAAGGAGTAAAAAAACAACTTAATTGATGTGAAGTTAGCAACGAGTGTTCTCTGTGCAGGTTTCAGTTACCCATAGACAAAGATACGTATGGACTGTGCGACAATTGCATGAAATAGGTTCCCTGTATCCCTGTGTAGCTAATAATAATATAAACTATTGGCCACACTATCGCTTCCTCTCTCTCACTTATCTACACAGTTTAACTTTAGAGTTTAACAGGGAACGCGCATTCCATTCTCTTTGTCTAATGTGAAACCCCACGCGCATCTACAGTGCGACAAAGATCTTTATGAATGCGAGTGACAGTACAGGTAGAGCGCCCCTGTCTACGTGAATGACCATATGACATAAAAAATATGACGTTTACAAAGACGGCGGCAATTATACTTCAGATTTTCGCCACAGTCATAAGAGACCTTTGGTGTCGATTCTGGCATGATTCTCCTTAAACTCAATTTAACATCAATTTCTCCTTTTCATTCTGTATCGAAAATCACAAGGATACACTGTTTATTATTTATTTATTTAATCTTTAATGCCTTTACATTGCATATGGCGGATTTAATGCCAGCATGGCACCAGTCAACCGGAAAGAACTTGCAGAGTCCATAAAACGACAGACAATCATAGAAAAGAGCAAACATCAAACAATGAGAAAAAATAAATAAATAGCATTTAATACATACACGTATACATACATACAAACATATAAATATACATACGTACACACACATATATACATAAATATAAACATAATGTACATATAATATAGTGTCCGATTTGTGTGTCTGTTAACAAGTAGACGACGAATACTCAAATAACTGTTGTCAAATTTAAGTTTAGGTTTAGAGAATTATGCTATTATCGACACCTTTGTCGCACTATAACACACTACCTCAGCCGCTATCACCTACTTCTTACATATTCTTTATCCTGCAGGTGGAAGTGTCTTACATGGAGATTTACTGCGAGCGAGTACGCGACTTATTGAACCCCAAGAACAAGGGCAACCTCCGTGTTCGCGAGCACCCTGCGCTGGGCCCGTACGTGGAGGACCTTAGCAAACTGGCCGTGACGTCATACCAGGACATATACGACCTCATCGACGAGGGAAACAAGGCTAGGTAGGGAGCTTTTTAGCTTTTTTGTGGACTCCTTAGAAATCTAATTTGCGGATTGCCAACTTTTTAAACTGTTCTTGTCTGCTTTATGTGAAGCAATCTTAAGTACACAGTACCGTGAATGATGTTTTAAGTGCGATTACATTTATACTTAGTGTTGTCCCCTCCTTTGCTATAAAATTAGGTTATGGTAGCACGTGACTTTAAATAACACTCAATTTATTTGAGATAGGATACACATATTGTGATAGGTTTTTTTTAGTTACACAGGTCTACATTCCGCTGTTGACTATATTCATCATTTATATTAGTATTTTGAAGTTAGTAGACATGCGAATATTATATTAGTATAGGTATATTATCTACTATAGGTCGCCCGTCCATAGGGTTACCAACTTATTTTTTATCAAATATATTATTTTGAAAGCTTATACCTCTTAAAATATAGTAGATGGCAAAGTACTGACAAAAAAAATATTTGTTTAACATATTTACTTTATTATATGTTTTCGCTCCTCTACGCCTAAATAATATTTTTTTATTTTTAAGAAAGCTTTTACTACCCAAGGTCTGCTTTAAGCAAAATATATTAGTTTCGTCTACTATATATTATTTTTAGGAATATAGCTTTTGATCCCCTAATATCTCTTATATATTAGACAAGTCCGTCCGTCCGTCTGTCTGTGGTGCTGTTTCAGCGGCCAAACCGTAAGAGATAGATAAAGAGAATGTTTAAGTTATAAGTTAAGAATAGTCTGTTAAGACTACAAACCGGATTTGAGTAACGTAGCACTTCCGGTTTTCGAGAAATCACGAATTTCAAACGAAACCACACAAAATCTCCGAAGTTCTCAATTAATTAAATACATTTTTTTTAAATCAGGTTTTGGTGAACATTTGGTTCACTGGTTTGCTAGTAGTAGGATAATATGTTATATAGTAGGGTTGGCAACCGTACCCGTCCACCAGGTTGAATTTATTATGTTAAACTACGCTAAAGCTATAAAACAGTAAAACCTCTTTGTTTATCCCACAGGACAGTGGCGGCTACGAACATGAACGAGACATCGTCTCGCTCGCACGCCGTCTTCACGATATTCTTCACTCAGCAGAGGCATGACAAGACGACAGACCTTATGTCGGAAAAGGTAAGGATAACTTACTTGACGACCTCCGTGGCCGAGTGGTTTGTACGCCGGGTTTCATGGTGTCGCCGACTCGGGAGGTCCCGGGTTCGAAACCCAGTGGGGGCAAATATTTGTGTGATGAATACGAGCATTTGTACTCCAGTCGTGAATGTTTAATATGTATTATATGTATTTCTATATAAATATACTTATATATGTACAATATATGTATTCTATCCGTTACCCTAGTATCCCATAACAGAAGCCTTACACTGCTTACTTTGGGGCTAGGCTAATTGGTTTGAGTGTTGGAAATATTTATTTATTATTATTATTAACGCCAACATTTTTTGCCATTGCAATGAATCGAAGTGACCCTTGGGAACAATACCCTTGTGAGAATTTAAATTCACTAACTGCCAGTTTCAATAATCAACCTCCAGTAATAGGTAGGGATAATCTGGGTCTGTTACTTAGCAACAGTCGTTGGTCTAGTCTTAATAATAAAAACAGCTCTAGCAGGCCGACCTTTTACTGATGTTTGATTATTGAAACTTGTCGTCTTACGACGGTTTTTGTTCAAGTGTTTATCCTGTTCTGACATAAAATAGCAGATTGCCAGTGAAATATTATGTTCAACGCTTTATTTTTTTAATAAAGTCCATGTTTACAATAAATATAAACGGCAAACCAATTCATGGACTCATAAAAATAGTCCCTAATAACGATTACAAAATAACACTAAAAAGGGACGCGCCCCCACATTACATTTTTCCTTATCCCTTTAGTTGGTACGAACACGTTCGGATCGGCCGTACCCTAGAGGGCTGTTTTCACTCGTAAACTTACATTATCCGTACCTAATATAACCATCTTTACCATACAACACATTTTTACTAGAATATTAAAGGTGCCTGGGACCTGTTTAAGCGCATCTAGTATTCATAACAAACTAGCTATAACCGGCAATCGTTAAAATAGTCTCGAAAAAAGAAGTGTGTCTGTGTTTTTACAAGAAACAAATTCAAGGTTTCATCAGACTTAATTTAGTTACGACCTTTAAAGAAATTTCTTTAAAGAATTTATGAATATACACATCCTAAATATATTATATTTACTCATACATATTTACAATGACTGTATCTTTGCTATCAAAGAACCAGTGCTAGTCAAAGTTTAGTTTGCTTTATTGGTAATACAACTAGCCTTTTAATATACATTAATGATTTATTTATGCTGAAATTGGGATTTCATAATTTAACCTTATTACCAACAAAAAAGGTTAAACATGCATTCAACACGAGTTTAAGAAAAAATGACATACAAAATTTAACTTAACAAGGTTTGAAACTGTTTCTAACTTTTTTGTAGTAAGTAAAGTTTACAATAATTCTATTGTTTTAATTAGGTGTCCAAAATCTCCTTGGTGGATCTCGCGGGGTCTGAGCGAGCCGACTCCACTGGGGCAAAAGGCACTCGCCTGAAGGAAGGTGCTAACATCAACAAGTCACTCACTACCCTTGGGAAAGTTATCTCTGCACTTGCTGAAATTGTAAGTATGCACTTCTACTTTGGTGGTTTGGTTGTAATGCCTACATTGGCTGTATCTTTTCATAATAGGTAAAATTAAAATGTTAACATTTCTCAATCAATCTACCTTTATTTTTATAAAATTTTGTCGATTTTGAATAAATAGACTTCTTCGTTCGATCGTTACCAATGTACTTCTACGAAGAATTTTCTTTAAATATAGAATCTATTAGTTTTCTCCATTAAATATATTGCTTGTTCAATTGAAGATTTGCCATATTTTTGAAGGAGACAGCGGCACTTTGATCGAACTATAAATAAAATCAAAGCGCGGATGAAAAGACTGATTTCAAAGAAATTGTCTATCAATAGGCTTATCGAGTACTTATGTATGAAATGAAGTAAAATATTCATAAAAGATGACAAATTAAATAGAACTGTGTTTGCGATTGTTGGTTGTGTGTTGTATAGAGGTATCATTTGGCTTTCAATAACAAACACAATTCGGGTGTGTTGCTCGCATGAGATTATATTCAATTCCATTAAAATTATTCTCATGACAAAAAAAAAGTTAGTGTATTTTTATTCAGTTAGAAACGTAATTCAACTCTTTTCTATAGGACATTTCTTGGTATTCATTGAAGCAACATTGACTTGATCGCTGAATATCTTCCCACGCACACAGCTCGTTATTACTGCACAATCGATACTTTCAATCACTGTTCCTTGTACTATACAAGTCTACAATTTATTAATATTAACTTTTTTTTTAATTAATGTTATTATATTCTAAACATAAGCTAGTTCTCATTTAGATAACTCATGATTTTCTCAACTATTTCCATTGCATTTCTTTCATTTGGACGTGTGTACAGTCGGTAAGTGCTGTCGGAATATTTCTCGTATCCATCACGTTTTGTAAGCGCCCGTAGTTCATTCCGTTGACAGTTCGCTTTCGGACCAAATGGATTGAGTTCGAACCTCGTCAATCTTATGCATTACGGACGTGAAGCTACTTGTAACACAAGTATATTTGGCTTAGTATGAGGATTAGCGTGAATATCGAGCGATTTCTAAGGGTGCTTTGCTTGCTATGTGGCCGAACCGATTGTCGATGTGCGCTTTGAATACATTACAGTTTTACTACAATTTGATTTATTTCGAGTAGTTGGCTGTTTGAAAGAAATACTTATTATAAAAAATGACAGATTGTCGTGCTAAGGTAAGTCCATGTAATCAGAAGGTATGAAAGGCAATTTGACAAGAAAGATGATGAACATAAAGTGAAAGATGGATGGGCGGATAGAAGGAAACAGATAAACCTCAAATAAAATTGCCGACAAAGCTAATATTGTTGATTTTGTTTTGGTTTTAACCCAAAGGGGAACGGAAAATGTGATCGATATGCATGTTGATGGTCGGTTCTTACCATACTCAGCACTTTAAGGGGTCTAAAATGCTTATTTTATTTATTTATACACTTAATAATGTATTTATTAATTTCTACAAAAGGTGTACCTTATACATACAGATGTTAATTTCTGTTAGTTAATTTTCCATAAGAATATTTTTTAGTTGCAGTGCATGCACCTTACCACACGAGTTTTTTTTTTATCGCAGCCTAGTTTGTAAGCGGAGAACTATAGGTCTTTAATATCAACGGTAACATACATTCGTACCGAATGTTCATAGGCGTCAAAGAGCAAGAAGTCCAAGAAGGCGGACTTCATACCGTATCGCGACTCGGTACTGACGTGGCTGTTGCGTGAGAACCTCGGGGGCAACTCCAAGACGGCCATGATTGCTGCAATATCGCCCGCTGACATCAACTTCGACGAAACGCTCAGCACTCTGAGGTACCTTCCTTCAATCGATTCGAATCGCACACAGCATATTTAATAAACGGCTTTTTAAACTTTCAAAGAAAGCATTAAATAAAATCACTTACCGCGCCTGTATGTATTAAACGTTTTAGCCTTCTTCTTGTTTACAAGCCCGGTTTCACCCATCGCCGGGCATAAGCCTCCTCATGGTCTCTCTATTTTAGAATTCGTAACGTGTGGGAGTCCAAAATGTCATTGTCAGATGTGTACTGATTTTTAGTTCTCGTTACGTACTATGTGGCGCTGCTGTGCAAGTTTCCATATATAATTTGACATTGACATTTCGAACTCGCAAACTATTCGAATTCTATAATGATTCGAGCTAGGGGTAGTGATTCCTCGTTACCTACGCTACCGCATTCAGGGTGTCGATTCTGCTACCTACTCTAACGCAAAAATCGTGTCTCAATAGTCGTTCAATAGTATTGCTTTTTGACACAATTCTTGTGAATAAAATATAAAATAACAAATGCATATAGATTAAAATAACTAATGAGTAAGTAAATACATTTGTATTATAGTAATTAACAAACAATAACTGTCAAAAATCAAAACTACTAAAACGCTATAGATACAGTTTGTCTATAAAGTCGTGACATTAAATGATGGCGCCACTAGTATGCATGTAGCCTTTACAGTCGGACCAAAATGATTTTGATACTAGCAGTTCATTCAAGTAAAATAGGTAATTAATAAGACACACTCTACAGTCGTATTTTGTTTCTGTTTTATATATAGTAGGTACCTATGCTTATAAAAAGTTTAGCCAAGCATATTTAATTGAATCAGAATAAAATTATTATAGATAAAATAGTACTTTATAGTGTAAAAGTGTGTAATGTTGGTGATTACCGCTGAGGTGCCATTGAGACCAGAGCCGTTAGGTAATCATCAATACACACAAGATTCATCATACGACGTTTTTTAACACACTTGTTAAGAAAATAATACTAAAAATCATTTTATAGTATATGAAAAGTTTAATTAGAGAAACAATTTGTAAATGTGCAGTTAGTAAAATTAGTGATAGGTATCTTCACTAAAAGCATCTGGCCATGGTTCTTTATGAGACCATTTCTTTCTTTGGTCGGCCTTGCCTGTTTTCCCAGGAGTTTCAAACATTCCATCATTCTTAAAACCTTCGTTGACTATCCGACTCTCTGATTTTCCCGAAAAAAAAAGTAAAAAAATATGTAACGGAATAGAAACAATAACTTAATGACATGAAGCAATTAATTCAAAATTGGTAGAAAACCTGACCGAGTTGAATCATAATAACGTATTAAAAGAAATGGTCGTACTACAATATTACCTATTTACAATGTCAATCCAACCTAAAAATGTGCAATGTAAACAATGCCTTTTATGGTCTCAAAATCGTAAATTGAGTAAATTTGTAACTTCAGGCAGATTACAAACAAATAGTTACACGATTACATACCCGTCATAGATGCTGTTCGCCCATAAACATCATCCAAATCCCACAAAATTAGTCCAGCTCTTAGTAGTCTTCGAAACATCGCTGGAAAATTTTAAAAATCACTTCCCACGTGCCACTCCGATTTACTTTACTCATTTTTATACCTTTCTGCGTAGTTTCGTCTTAATTTATTACATTTTAATCCAAACAATAAAAAATACAAAAGGAAAACTGTTCCACAACTGAAACTCGATGACAGCTTGGGACGATCCCATCGACACCTAGGTCTTGTTCACTATTTTAGTGATTTCGTCAGCGCATAGGTTGCCTTCCCACTTTTCTTGGGTCAGTTCTTAGTTTCCACTCGGCAATGCTGCTCCACATTATAAATGCATGACTGAAATCCAATATCCTGTTACAGTTTGGTAGTAGTTAAAGACTGCACATTTTTAAAATGCGTCCCGAAATAGAATCTTTTGATAATTGTTTATTAAATTTTAATACAATACTCATTCTAACGTGAATGAAACATTGCCTTTAATTGTTATTACCTATATGTGTTTGTACTGCGGGCAAAGACCACGCCCATTACTACAAGTTTCGCTTCCTCTTTAATATATTACATGACCGCCATTTTGTAATAGCTATAATTAAGGGTTATTAAAACCAAAGTTGAATGGTTGGTCTACTTGCAAACCTCTATTTAGTTAGGCTGACTATAAGTTTTTCAATAATTCATTTTTACGTAATTTTTCACATCACGGTTCTCAGTTAACTCGGTTTTGTTGGACTATGAAAATAATATCTGTAATTTGAAATATTCTTAGCAGTTATTTATTATGAAATAATATGCTACAGTGGAATTCAAAACTATTGTCTACTAAATTTTTTCGTAAATGATTTTAACTTCGCCATATTACCGGCGCCAAAATTTCAAATTGCAACACTTTAACATTACAAACCCTCCACAGATATGCCGATCGTGCCAAACAGATCGTATGCAAGGCCGTGGTCAACGAGGATGCCAATGCCAAACTCATCCGCGAACTCAAAGAGGAGATCTTCAAGTTGCGCGAACTGCTTAAAGCTGAAGGCATTGAAGTCGAAGAAGGTTGGTATCAAAGAGGTTTCTTCTCGCGGCTTGCACTGTGACGACGGTCGATCGATGACTATGTGTTTGGAATATCAGCTAATTGACATGAAAAGTCATTATTCATTCTAAACACGATCTTTAAATATTAAGAACCAGTTCATCTTGGGCTGCGATCTGTTAACGTATTGGCAAGATGTGCGCATTTACATAAAACCATCATTTGTTTTTTAATATTCTTGTGTAGGTTATATTTAATTTGCCAGACTTGCAGAAAAGTAAGTGTTTTTGAACGTTAAACCTACCTGTGTATATAGGGTATCTACATCTGCATGGACATTTATGGACATGTATTTGTGTGAGGACAAAATTATTATAAGGCATGTCATTGTTTGAGAGTGTATAGTGCTAGACTTGATGATGTATTTAATCGTATATTAGAGCATCAAAAACTGTAGGTACAACTGAAATTCTCATCAATCGACCTCGTCATGTAAATATGTGCTGTCGTCTGATATAGACTGTTTAGACGTCATGTGGTTGATAGAATGTGTGAGTGTGTGCATTGTGTGAAGCAGGTGCTAGAATATAACGCCACAGCGTTGCCGAATTCCTGATACTAAATATCAACTTTTGTTTCCAAAACAACACTCGAACTAGGACCAGATGGTAGAGTCCTTTACGAAAAGAAAGAACCGCCTACCTGTAAGTAAATGATGGAAGTAACGAGGCTTACGCAATTCTGCATCTGTACACCCCACCTGTACGCTTAGCCTCTTTTCGTTTGAGGTTGCCAGACCAAAAAAAACATTGAAATGCAATAAAAACCATTCGACCTTTTTACAATCTGGCAACCCGACACATAATTCGAAAAGTATTATAATTATGCAATTTATTTTGCACCCTTGTCCGGCTTGTGGCGTTCGTAGGCATAGTATGTCGTGTTCACTTCACAATAAACAAAAAAAAAACGAAGTGGATCATGCATTTCATACATATTTGTATCTGCGCTTTTGTGTATTATGTTGGTGTTGGTACACTATATATTATAATTAGGGTATTTATTAATATTTATTTGTGTATGCAAGGTATGGTATAGCTAGGAAAGTAAGATTGTCAATCCAATATGGTGTCGGCTTTGTAAAAAAGTCTGAAATTAATGGAATCCATTCTATTCCTTTCCTATACTATTTCATTCATACTTTTCACTTGTTTAAGAATATATGCATATAACTTGTCTTTGACGATCATGATGGATTTTTATATTAAAGTGAGAATGGATTCTTTCATAGTCCCAGTGAAGTTCTGAGCATTTCATTCATGTATTTTTTTAGCTAAATTTCACAACTGTAATACAATAATTATTCGGTGAGATGCTCAGTTATTATGTATTTTATAAAATTACCAATTTCTTACTCCGTTCGCGTCCATAAAAATTTACGGAAAAATAAACTCTACTGTTGAAGAGATAAGGTTGCGAACGGTGAACTCTACATATATATTATATATGCTATAACCGAGCTTTATAGCTTTGTAAGCCTTTGCATGTCTTCCTTTTTGTCGATTTTGATCTCAGTGTATTCTTATCGTTTATTCATTTATCATTATACAGTTGTTGTTACTTACGTAAAACTTTTTTTTATATGATGTGTAATACGAACCTCTTTGAAGTAAGGTTCGTATTTAAAATAATGGAATTAAGTCAGATTTACGGTAATGCCAATCAAAAACCGATCGTAGGGTGGTTGCCTTAGTTTTTTTTTTAAATTCCGTTACAATATGGCAGCAGTTAGTATATGAAAGTGAAGCATAACATCGAGTTAAGTGAGACGGGCCAAAAAAGTTTGCTATCTCCCTCGCACTATGGCTCTTGTGTACTCCATATAAGATCACCTTTTATCCCTTCCACCAGAATTAAAACCTTAATGCTTATTTGTTTATGATTGGGTTTATAAAATCCCTTTAAGATTTTAAGCAACGTAATCAACTAAATCTCGATATATGTATGTCATCACACTAATGAGCACTTGTTTGTGTCCTGACACTTCACTTGCGCATAGGATTGTTGAGGTTATGTGGGGAAAACACGTACTAAAGCACATAGTGAAATATTAGCCATAGCTCAGGTTAGAGGTTTTATGGACTGTAAAAAGACGTAGTAAAAACGGTGCTGTATATGAAATACTTCGTTTCTTTATTACAAGTTAACAAACTTATAAAGGATATAATTTACATAAAAAGTCATATTTAACTCTTTTTTACAACAGCCGCACTCACAGACTATGATATTCTCTGTTATTGTCTATTTTTTATTTCTTATTTACTGTATGCGTCAGAAGAAAGTATTTTGTGATAAATTAATAATTTACTTTACTGTTTCAAATAAAATCACGGTATTTCATGTGAATTTGAATTTCGATCGCAATCAAAATCGTAAATGAGCTTTTAATTTTGTTAAAAATTGTTACTATCACTTTTGTGTGTAATAATTAATTATATAATTTAATTGACTTATTTAAGTGCGGCTATTTGACAGTTACAGTTTATATAAGTACACTACAAATTAATTTAGTGAACTCTTACTTTTAATTTATTTTATTTACAAAAAAATAATTACACATTCTGAGAAAAAAATAATTCACTATTTCTGAGGTCCACTTCCAATAATTTTTCTTTATCTCAATTTATCTAATACCGGATTTAGTCACTGAGATTTTGTCATTTTTGTATGAGATAGATCTAGTTTTAGATGAATCGAGATTTAGCTAATTTGCTGCAAGTGGCTTAAGAGCCAGTGTAAGATTAAGATCTTTGTCAATTACCTGGTCTATTTGCTGACATGAGCACTGTTTTGCCTATAATTAGCAGGCGAAGATCCATCAGCAAACTGTAAGAAGAACGACACAGAAGCGTTGTCGCCGAAGCTAAGCCGCGCCGCCACAACCATAGCAGAGGAGGCGGTCGATCAGCTACAAGCCTCGGAGAAACTCATCGCAGGTATGGGATACGTCAATACCTAAAAGACTACTAGCACTACACTTTGGCGATTCGCAATTGCCGTAAGTAACTCATTTTGACAGTAACTTGAATTGAGTATATCCTTGTCTGTCATGCTCTATATAAAGGATATCTGCTGTCAAGTGTATAAATAGCTAATACGAATATAACCCTGTGAAGTGTTAGCATACAAGAAACAGTGAAATATTTCTAAGGCCGTATACAGAAAGAAAGCCGAAAGCCGATCGGCGCTTATCGGCGCCGATCCTTCCTACATAAAGGAAGCCGATTAAAGCAGATCAAGCAAAATGTCGGACTCATCGGACGATGATTTGTTTTTGTTAGAAAATGTTTATTTAAAAATGCGAAAACCAGCTATACATCCTTTAAATAGAGGAAGGAAACGTTTCGGAGAATACCATCATTTATTTGTAAAAAAAATTAAATATGATGAACAAAGATTTTATACATATACAAGAATGATTCAAGATACATTTTATTACATTTTGGATTTAGTGAAAAAACGTTTGATGAAAAATTGGGGCAATTGGCATAAACAACCAATCCTTCCAGAAGAAAGACTTGTTGTCACCATTCGGTAAGTACTTACCGAAACAAATAATTTTAGCGCTTAGTTAATAAAAGATAAAGTTATTAGATTTATAAAAAGATTATAACTTAGATTGATTTAATCTAAGGATAATAATTCAAATACAAATTATTTATTAATCGGACCAGCGCGTGTCGGCGCTTATCGGCGCCGGTCCATAGAAAATGGATCAGCGCCTATAGGCGCCGATAAGCGCCGATCGGCTTTCGGCTTTCTTTCTGTATACGGCCTAAATAAGGTTTCTTATACTTATAGCTTATACTTGTAGTTGACTTTTTTATTCAGTAAATTTTATATTTAGCAATGACTACCATGTATACTAGACAGCCAGATAAAACTTATTGTTTTAATATTGTGTTGTCCGGACAAATTAAAAAGTTGTGTTCCTTTTGAGTATTGCTTACTTTTTGATTGAGTAATAGTTTACGACACATGGATTTTATTATATACTAGCTAACCCGGCGAACTTCGTACTGCCTTAGCGTAGCTTTGATGCACTACTTTATTTTGTATAGCTGACCTATCTTATGTATGAGTACCTATTCAATTTGAACTGGAATCTATAATATCCTCCATATAAAAATGAATCCTTATTTCCCTGGTCTCGCCATACCTGAGGACTTTACTAATTTTTATTAAATAAAAAACAACATATATATTTTCATAATAGTGTTTATTCCATAGGGTTCAATTTCACTCATATTTTTACAAATCGCTATTGAACAACTTTGCATTTTGAAGTAAATACTGAGCTCAACACCACGCGCGCTCTAGAAAGCAACTAATAGCCTCTATACCCTTCACTCCTTCTCTCTATTCTAATGCTTTTTGATAAACTATATTTTTAGTTTTATGTTTTGGCGCGTAAATAAATAATGTTGATGGTTTTCCGACACGGGAACAGGCGACATATAATTGGCCATGTGAAACACATGGATTTTCTAGGTTGATGCCACATACACTTAGCGACTGCCCTTGCGATTTATTTATTGACATTGCAAATGCAAGCCGCACTGGAAACTGTAAACGTTTAAAGCTGAATGGCATGTCGTTCGGTATCATAGGGATGCGTGGGATTAAAACATCTTCGCCTTTGTACTTCCCTTTCAAAATTGTGGCTTCGATGACGTTGTTCAATAATTTCTTCACCGCAAGCCGGGTGCCATTACACAGACGTGGCAGGTTTATGTTCCGTAACATAATAATTACTGATCCGATTTTTAATTGCAGATTATGAGGTGGAAAGCCGGGCAATTCCAGCGAATTTAAAAATTCTGTTGGATAATTGACAACTTCATCTTCATTAGTAATGGAATCAACTGATTTGTAATTCTTCAATTCGCCAGCTATTTTCTCTTGAATCTGAAAATTCATTTCATTCACATCAACATTTTTTGCTGCCAATATAACACGTTCGCTTAACCAAACATGATTTACGTAATTTTGAGCAATGTTTGGGAAAACCATCTCCATGAGTTCGGTCTTTGATTCACAAAAGTTACAAAAATTGGTAGGGAATGCAATGTATCCAGATGATGTATCAACAGCAATAATACCATTACTAATATCGAGCAGTTGTTTGGAAAACACTTCTCCAGACTGGTCTTCCTGCAATTCGACTCTCATGTTTATACTCAATTTAAGTGTTTTAATGTATTTCCATAAAATGGACGACTTCAAACATGCATTCAGTTCATCAGCAGGCGTTGAGCGTGGAACAACTGGCAATATTTGTCGAAAATCACCTGCCAATAGTATCATTGCACCACCAAACCGTTTTTTGTTATTTCGTAAATCTTGCATCGAGCGATCTAATGCCTCCAAAGTTTTTTTGTGATTTGATTTAAGATTTTATGAAGTGAAGTGAACTTACCGTGATTAACAAACACTTATTAGCAAACAAAAAACTTCTTAGGGTACGGCCAGAGTGCACTCAGATTCAGATTCAGACTCCGAAAACAAGCGCGAGAAATAAACAGTGTAGTTAAAGCAGGGTGGCCATAGTGGCCGCAGTCAACCTGCTTAAACTCTGGCCGTACCCTTAGTCTTTAAAACAAAACGAACTTTATCAAAAACTTAATAAAATTATTGTTAGCGCGGTTATGGATGTGTTGTCACAGATTACCACAGATTTTATTGTTTTAAATTGAATGACGTTGACATTTGTTAGCGCGGTTATCGATGTGGTGTCACAGATTAAAACAGATTTTTTGTTTTAAATTGAATGACGTTGACATTCGTTACGTTATATTTTTCAATCTTTCTGAGAGATTTTCTTTATATTTTTTCCGTAAGAACCTTGTACAGAGTATTAGAAAACTACAAAAAAAAAATCAGCCAAATCGGTCAAGCCGTTTTCATGTTATGTCGTGACAACGGAACACGGGTTTCATTTTTATATATATAGATTTAAAAAATCGTACTTAAAATAAAATTTCTCCAATCAGAACTCAACGAAACATGGGAAGAAAAACTGAAACGTACCGAAGAGATCAGGCTTCAGCGGGAAGCCGTATTCGCGGAAATGGGCGTGGCCGTAAAAGAAGGAATAACAGTGGGCGTGTACTCGCCCAAGAAAACACCCCATCTAGTCAATCTGAACGAAGACCCCAACCTTTCTGAATGCCTCATATATTACATCAAAGACGGTAAGATTGAGATTACTTTATAATTATATCAAGGTGCAGCGGGATTCCGTGTTTTTGGACTATAGAAGACGCCGTATTTCATTAACCCGAACACACAACACACCTGCCCGAATATATTACATGAAAAACGGTAAGTATCGATATTGTTTTGCAATTGTTGAAGGAAGGAATAACAGTGGGCGTGTCCTCGCTAAAAACACGCCCAATCTAGTCAATATGAAAAAGACCGCAACTCTTCCGAATGCCTCATATATTACATCAAACACGGTAAGATTTAGATTTAGATATTGTTTTGCAATTGATGTGACTACTTTTCATACCATGTCAAACTATGAAAGAAGAAAAGTAACGAATTTTGTACAAATCAATACATACTCGTAAAGATCCGCTTAAATATAATAATCATGTATTTTTTGAATTCTAAAATACGAGTATATTAGACAAGGTACCTGATTTATCAGTCATTCAATATTTTTCTTTTCTCATTGTTGTTTTTTATGGCAAGCGTATAGCCCACCTGATGATAAGCAGGCACCATAGCCTAATATCACTCGCACCGTTGACCCTATCCCCCCTACCCGTGGTGCCCTAGAACCTTATTCACCGACAGAAACACAACTCAATCAAAAATGCTAGTGTTATTTTACTGTGGTCTTCCGTCACTTCTCCAGAGGGGCGCTCCCCCCTACCCGTAGAGCCCTAGAACCTTATTCACCGACGGAACACTGCCAAAAATGGTAGTGTTGTTTTACTATGGTTTTCTGTAAGGTGGAGGTTACTTCCCCAGACGGGCGCTCCAATTCGAGCGGAAAATCCGCTATGCCCTATGTCTCTTATCTCCCAGTTAATATCTGATATATATTTTTCTTCGATCTGGGAATCTGGCCAATAAAGAAACTAATCGAAAATGACGACACATGACATGGTTTCTGTTGCACATTATTTTTGAAAGAACTTGAAATAATATTTCTTTACGAATTGATACATTGAAATAAATACTCGACGTTTCTTTATTGGCGAAAATATTTTTTGATGGCCTCCGTGGCCGAGTGGTTTTTACTCCGGGTTTCATGGTGTCGCGGACTCTAGAGGTCCCGGGTTCGAATCCCGATGGGGGCAGATGTTTTTGTGATAAATACGAGCATTTGTTCTCCAGTCATGGATATTAAACATGTTTTATATATAAATATACTTATATATGTACAGTATATGTATTCTATCCGTTACCCTAGCATCCCATAACACAAGCCTTACAGTGCTTACTTTGGGGCTAGGCTAATTGGTGTGTTGGAAATATAAAAAAATATATATATTACCTAATTAATCGTTGGACAGGTGTAACGCGGCTGGGCACTGCCGAAGCGGACGTGCCCCAAGACATCCAGCTATCTGGTTCCCATATCCTCAGCGAGCACTGCATTTTCGAAAACACTGATGGCGTCATCTGTTTGATCCCTCATCGCGCCGCACTCGTTTACATCAACGGACGAGAGGTAAATAACGCTAATATTAACTTAGGGTAAATAGGGGACAGTATAACGAAGGGCACAGTGTGACATTAGGAATATCTCTGCCCTTTTTTAAGCGGCTATCTCCGTTTTGTTACAGGTTTTTTTTTGCACTGTTTGTCTATTTTTTTTTCCTGCATGCTCTTTTGCGTTTTGTGCTTGTTCTTCTGCACTCGTCATATTCTATCTTAGATTCTAATTCTTACCTTCTAATACATTATTCTCTTTCCCTTTTCTTAATAAACTATGGTTTGTCTTGACGTGTTTTAATAGTTCCACATACCGCCATATTAAACAGCTGTCATCAGACGTCAAATGGCCGGGTATAATAAAGATCTTTCCTTATGTTACACTGGCCAACACTTAACCATATTCTTTGCTAGATATCGTTACAGATACAAGAACTCGTGAATGTCAGACTTCAGAACTATAGTCCAAAGGCTTAACAATAAGACTTTAGCCATTCAGTCAGAAACAAGATATACATATAGTTAGATATAGTTAATAGTTTCTTTTTTATGTTTTTTTGTAACTAGATAAGTTCAACTTTATGCATTTAATAATAAAGATCATTGTATCCAATATCCGAGTCAGAAACAGGTTATTTTTACGTCTCTATCTATTCGTTTTTGGCGAAAAGAATTTAAAAAAGATCTGGCACTATTAACAAAAATTGCTTGTATTCCATCACTCAAATAGTTGTCCGCCAAAACAACGCCTTCCTATTCGTATCCATATTCTAATGCTATAAAATTATCTTCCTTATTCTCTAGGTGACAGAACCTATTATCCTGAAGACTGGTTCCCGCGTGATCCTGGGCAAGAACCACGTGTTCCGTTTCACGCACCCCGGTCAGCCGCGCGAGGAACGCGTGAGCAATAAGGAGGAACCTCAGGATACCTCTGCCGCGGCTGATGGTAAGCCGTAACTTGATACGATATTTTATAACGTTGATTATTAAATACAGATAAATAAATAGTGTATTTGTTTCTTAGGTTTTCACGCACATCACTCATTAAATAAATCAGAATAATTTTATTCTGACGATGCAGATCTGAAAAGGCTGCGAAACGTCAATAAATAAATAAAGTTCGTGCATTAATCCGTTGAAACTAGTTTTATTTAAATAAATAGTGTTATAATTTTAATTATTTAAGTGCGTGAAAACTAAAAAATATAGAAAAAAGAAACATAGATAGTTTTACAAATTATATAACTAAAAAAAACTTTTATTTACTATATGTGTAGTAATTGAGATATTACACTTTCTATTAAATATAACTTAATTATAAAGGTAATGTTTCATACAACTTTGAACTCGGAACACTTTCAAATAGGCGCGAAATATAGTGCGATTCAAACTTTATTGCGGTTGTGAAGTTATCAGCGAGCGCAACTATGTGCAGATTTCAGTTCAATTATACTGCATTTCGCTTACTGCGTCGCGATTTGAGCTTACTTCGAAGCAGGCGTTAGGTTTGAATTGCACTATACCATCTCCCTAGCCAAAACCTATAGGTAGTTAGTGCTGCATATGCGTCAGTGAAGTGCAGCTTCTTATAAAAAAAAATACTTTGTCCACTAGTTCCTAGCGACACAGAAACGGTGGATTGGGATTTCGCACAATGCGAGCTATTGGAGAAACAGGGCATCGACCTCAAGGCGGAGATGCAGAAGCGGTTGCTCGCACTGGAAGAGCAGTTCCGTAGAGAGAAGGAACACGCCGACCAACAGTTTGAGGAACAAAGGAAGGTAGGAAGGCTTATTTGTGGACACGACACTCATAACTTCAGTATACTAACAAGTAAGATAGTGACATAGGGTAAAGATTTATTATTTCATTTTAAAAATTATGTTTATAACTCTCAAACTACAAAGATTTTTTATAAAAAAATATTCTTAATCTAATGATGATAATGTAACTCAATAGAAAATATTTCCGTAATTAGATAATTGACGTTGACTTTTCTGACCAACATTATTTAATAAGTGGGTTAAATGTTGGTTGTGTATATTTTATACATTAAAAAGTCTAATTGTCAACAGCTTGAAAATTAATTAAATATAACCCTAGACGAGCTTCAATGATTTACACATTTACTTTTTTTTATTTATATGTTTAACGGCTTTAGATAACTCCACACAGCCTTTACATAACTGACATTCATCTTGTGTTGTAATTCTTTTAATCTTCTCAAAAGTTGATGTTATGTAGGTGTAGATAGATCCATTTTCTTTGATTTTGACGTGACATAAACTTTAGTCAAATTTAACTATGGATTAAACAACGCGACCTTACTATGTATTTGACATGAGATTAACTATACTTAAATTTAACTATCGATGAAACAACGCTGCCATAGGCGGGCTTCTTTGAAATCATTTTTATTCGCAGAATTACGAGGCCCGCATCGACGCGCTGCAACGGCAAGTGGAAGAACAAAGCGTCACTATGTCCATGTACTCGTCATACACCCCCGAGGACTTCCACAACGATGAGGATATATTTGGTAAGAACAGGGGCTTCGATCACTATTAGACAAATATAACCAGTTCTGATATTGTAGATTAAAGGCTCTTAATAATTATTTGATGATTATATGATATTACCCCCAGTAGAGTCCAAATTACTCAGTTTTTGTTTGAAATCGCAATCGCCGAAGTTGCTGGCGTGCGGGGTGAGCAACCCGCGGTATAATTCTAAGTGTGACGTCACAGTGAGATGACAAATTAGGTGCCAACTGGTATCGCAAGGTTTGGGGACTTTTTTTAAAGTATGCTGTCAGATGACCTTTATAGCGTCATCAGCTTTGGGGACGGCGAGATCTCAACAGGACATTAAGCCGAGAAATGGTGAGTGCCTCTAATGGTATTCTAGGCGGATGACAACTCTTCTCCGTCCAAGAGCCATTAGGCCACTAGAGCCTGAGGGGTATTTGGGGTCGTCTCATACGTATTTGCAGTATGTAAGTTACATAAACTTGGCACAAGAGGGTGGCACAGGCACAAATATCCTATACGGTCTCTAGTAAAGGTGATCTGTGGTTAAAAAGGATTCAGCTGTTGAAAACAACAAACCTGACCAGTAACCTGGATTCCACGAATTACGCTTAACAGGTCTTCATCGATTTTTATTTGAAATTTTACCAGAATAGTAAAATAAAAATAATAACTTTTACAGTACCTGAGATTTGATTATCCGTGTAACTCGATTTTGAAGCAAATTGTTACGCGATCCGCGTGTATCTTGTATACAGCTGATAGGTTAATAATTTATCGTTGTCGTAGTGAACCCATTGTTCGAGACGGAATGTTGGTCGGCACGGGAACTAGGGCTGGCCGCGTGGGCATTCCGCAAGTGGAAATATCACCAGTTCACTTCGCTGCGGGACGACCTGTGGGGGAACGCGATATTCCTCAAGGTAACGTACTATATGGCCGATATATAATAATAATCATCATCATTTATTTCAGATAAACATCCATAATTATTATTACAAGTTAGTAACAATTTCGGGCTTATCCTATGTTAGTAGTATTAGTATATTAATACATCATTCATATATACTTGTGTTAGCGTCTTAGTTAGTCCATTGTTCGAGATGGAATGCAGCCGGCCTATTAGCTAACTTTTTGACATTTGCAGTTTTTAACTAAATAGATAATTGCATATCCATCGATGCTTTTTTTTCTGCACAAGTATCTTAGTAAATCTCCCTATTCCATCCATAGGGAAGGCCTGTGCCCCAGCAGTGGGGACATTAATAGGCTGATGATGATGATGATGATCTTAGTGGCGTTGTAATAAAGCAGTAGTGGATCACTAAATAGCTCGATTACGTGTATCTGTCAAAAACAGTTAGCGAATAGGCCTACTGGTCGGTACGATAACTAGGGCCTGTCTGCGGGACCTCCTGTGGGGAAACGCGATATTCCTCAAGGTAACATATAACCCATAGATTAGAGTTTATTTTTTGATGTTGATAGAAACCTTTATATCGGATAATCTAGTATCGTTGAATAAAATCGCTTACCATTAAATGACAAGAATCATTTCCATTTCTAAAAAATTGCATTAGAAACAGAATCTGTTTCGTTTGCTGTGCTTTGTATTCAATTGCCAAATGAAAGAAAATCTTTCTAACGAAGAAGAAAAAATCCTTTTTGGAAATGGAGGAGTGACTCCGTTTGTAGTCCTCATTGTGTTCTGTTTTGTTTCGTTTACTTAATAACACCAAAAGCCACACAAAAAATTCCAAACCGCTGAATTAAATCAACAATTAAAATTTTTTTTTATTATTATTTAAAATACACCTTATTTACAATAGAATTCTCAACAGGAAGCGAACGCCATCTCCGTAGAACTGCGCAAGAAAGTGCAATTCCAGTTCACGTTGCTCACGGACACACCATACTCGCCCCTACCGGCGGAACTCGCGCCTCGAGACGACGCCGACGACGAGTATCGCCCGAGCGCACCCACAGTAGTCGCTGTGGAAGTCACCGACACAAAGAACGGAGCCACGCATTACTGGACGCTCGAGAAACTACGGTAAGAGATTATTTGAAGTGTTACCAGGAGGCGCAAAATTTGAACGAGATAGGAAACTTTTTTTCTATGACTGTTGTTTTAGATAGGTAGATGTGGAAAGATACAGTTGCCCATTTAAAATTAACCTTAATATTTACTTTTTGTGTGGCAGCTTTGTTAGTTTTCTTTGGAGTGGGAGGATGAAGCAGTTACTGTAGAAAAATGAACCTTATTGGTGACAAATATAACAACCTTAAGTCAAGCAAATAAATTATTATTAGTCATGTCAATATCATATCAGTAATTTCTGTCATATCAATTTGTTTTGGGAATATTACTATTTTTAACGAAAAATAAGGAAATATTATATTTTGATATACTCTATTATTTCCTTCGAAATAGGTAACGCTGAGAAACTTTCAAATGTTATTATTATAATTATATTATTTCCGTTTTAATTTTCCTTAAATCTTACTTTTTTTAACTTTTTTGATATAAAGTTGAATGTCTCAGATTTTCCTTCTATTACTTTCATTTGCATTTCGTTCTTTTTTTGATTGGTTATTCTATTTTTTTATTTGACTCTTGTTTAGTAAAAAAAAAAGAAAAACATAACAACTATTTTTGCTGACGCCGTGTCCAATGACCCTTATAAATATTTATTATACAAAACTGTCATAACTATCATAACGATTTATTGTACCTAATTCAGGGTAAGTATATTTTCCGGTATGATATGTATAAATGTATAGTTGCCAATGTTCCTATATTGAATAGCGCTTGTTTTATTTGCGGCTTTTTTTTATTTTTTATAATGCTCTTTATACATATTTATGTATAATAAATAGTTTTTTAAATCCATAAGTATAGCAAATGATAAGAATGTGAATAGTTATATTTAATTTATAGGCAGACCGCTTAAGTGAGACCTCGCGTGCGGGCAGAAGGGTGTGGGGGAGGGAGACAACGGGGACCGTGAGAAATGCGGGCAGCAGGCACATTCTTGTCAAAATAACAAGTGCCCGCTGCTCGCACTTCTCACGGCCCCCGTTCTCATCCTCCCCCACACCCTTTACCCTGCAGGCGAAGACTCAGTTAAGCGGTCTACCTATAGCTATACCAATTAGTTCAAATAATATTTTATAGTGCCAAAAATAGTAAAATATAAACAGTTCTCGTCATTTGCTCATAGATAAGGGCCAAATGAGAGGACATGCATTGACTTCTAAAAAAACTTAATACACCACATGTATTCACATTTTTTTTTAATATTTACACAAACACTTTTTGTCAATACACATAAGGAACGACATCACGAATGTAAGAGTGTGGGTACACTATAGCATGTCTTCGCATGACGGATGGTTAGGGGCGGTAGGCGTGCATTATTCGCATAGACATAGTGAATGGACTGAGTGACTCGCATGAAATTGATAATTCTCTAGACATAGGGAAAGCGATGGTGCAGCAAATATATACGATACTATAGATAGATAATTTTATTATACTTTAGTAGGGCCTCGCCCTCTCTTCGCTTCGGTGAAGACTGTAGTTTTTATTCTCGGGCCTGTATTATACATATAAACCTTCCTCTTGAATCACTCTATCTATTGCAGAAATATTCATTAAATCCGTTGCGTACTTTAAGAGATCTAAGCGTACAGACAACAGGAGCGACATTGTATTTATACTATGTAAAGATTTAAATAGACTAATTGAAAACTATTTTGAAATGAACAATATTTTGTTCCGACCACCTATTCAGGACGGCCGCACGATCGCTTCGTATATGCCCAGTGTTTTTTCCCACTATTTGGTTAAGGAACGCTCTCTCCCACACTGAGTTATTTTGACATTTGGCTAGGGAACACTCAGTCCAATGTCCTATGTGTACGGTTGTCCGTAGCCACCGCCTGGAGCTCATGCGTCAGATTTACAACATGAACGAGAGTGCGTACGGCGAGGAGGACGATCCGGTGCCGCCCGCGTCCATTACGCCGCCGGCAGCCGCCGCAACCGCCGCCGGGCCGGATATCCTGCAGTGTATCTCGGCTGCGGCGCAACAAACGCGATTGTCGCTAGCCAACCTGCTGCCCTCGAGGTTTGTCGCCTCGCTTGCCCGTAGGGTTAGCACATGGAGATAAACATCATCATTGCTCTTTATAAAAACAAATGTGGTGACGCAAAAAAAAGTATCTACGAATCCCAGAATACAACTTTTACATTGCTAGTTAGATATTTCAATTGATTTTTCAAAAATAAGTTACTTCGTAGTTACTTAGCACATATAACAAAACAGTCTATCCTTTAATGATTAGGGATGTTAAATATTGAGATGGTTAGATCATTCTTGTAAAATCGTACACGTACAGGGATTTATATCATCTCTTTTTTATAATTTGTCAGTATCGTAATCAGGTATAGATCGTTCCAGATGTTTTTTCATTTTATTTTGATGATTCCGTATGAATCATCCGATTCCATCAATTTATCCTTAAATACATATTGATCTCAGTAGTTATACTCATGACCTATATTATAAAATAAAAAGCCCTCTGACAACCGACCGCCTAGACAGACAATTTTTTCAATACCACTCGAAGTTCAAGCAGTAATGATGATTTTTATATTCTCCGCGCCCCGCACGGTCGATATCGTACTCGAGAAGTCACAGTAATAGTCGTATCAAGTTTGTGACGTCATTGCGCACGTATCTACGCTCGCTCGTTGACGGGACAGGGGCCAGACTTGGCGCTGCCGATGTATTGACTTCGCTTCGTTTACCTTCGCAAACACGTCGCTTGTTCGCAACGAGAATGAATGAATGAAATTCTTTGCCCCGAACTTTTTTTTATCTTAAGCTTGAAATGCGAGTTTTTACAGCCTAGCAAAAAAACAAATTGCCTAGTTTGGAGATGTTTACATCATTGATAATGTTACAAATCATTAATGTACAGTATAGTATATAGGTAGTAAATATCTTCGTATATCATCGTGAAATGTACTTGTACATTATGTTTTTGTACTTTATGCGATAAAGAAAATATGTGCTTTATTATAAATAAGTCTTTAAGGCGGGTTAATCGTTTTTAATACGAGCATTTAAATGATTGTAAATAGTAAATTATTTAAACGATATCTTATGAAACTGCATATAGTTTTGCACATTATTAGTTTTTGTTGGGTAATTTTGAAATGTCACCTAATGTTAGAAGTGTTAACCACAAGAAGTGATTTAAAAGTTATTCAAACAGTTTTGATGTTTATGCTGTATTATATTAGAGCACTAATCCCCATGTTGATGTAACACGCATTGTAAGAAATACTTGCGTCGGTGTTGTATCCACTGTTGTAGTTTGAAACACTCGCACAATTTGAAACCATGTTTCTATTCCTTTACCCCACCTTTTTCTTTCCTAAGAAACACCTGTGCTGGCCTGCATCACCCACTTTGGCCTCCATTACAGAGCAAATAAATATATTTTTCGCCATTTTATTCTTCGTTATTAAATGAAATCATGTGCTAGTTAGTTTAAGTGGAGTCCTAGTAGTCACATGAGAAGTTTAAAAATCATCCCGCCAAGACAAAAGAGAGATAGTGCAAAGAGATCAAATCTGCTGCCCTATCTGTCTTCCTTTTCGATTCTTAAATAAGAGCATAAAATGATGTTAAAAATATGTGTCGAGTATTTAATATTTAGAATATGTTATAGTAATAAATGTTCCTGAGGGTTTATTAGTTGTCATAGATGCATTTACCACTATCTTCACATCTTGACTCTACTGAAGCCTTTACTTTTATCTTTGAAAAAATAAAAATTCATTAACTTGTTACTTTGATATATAGAATAAACACCTGTATTTAGAATGGAAAAATCTCAATAACTTTTGACGTTTTTATAGCTACAAAACTCTCAAAAATTGTTAAAGTTTTTTTTGTTACCTTTTTTATTTTGTATTGTATCTGAAGCTAATTAAGAATGCAAGGGCAATTACTATAGCGGCGTATTTATGGATAATTTCAGTCAGTTATTAAGTGCTTCTGTTCCAGACCTTTATTTTAATTTGCTTATAAATAAATGTTGCTGGCAGTGTAATGTAAGCTTGCAATGTTCATAGAAGTATCTGGCTGGGGATATAAAATAGGGACATTTGCATGAGACTTCTGAAAGATGATTAATTTTTCTGAATTCTTTAACTTGACAGTATCAACTTTTAATATTAGTAAAAATTGAACGCATTATCATTAATAAAAAATGACAAATTATTTATTTTATGTACATTAATTGTCCCAGTTAATAACTTGTCATTTAAGATAAAAAAAAAATATGCTGAGCAATAATAATTAAATATGCAATGTCCTTATCTATTTTAGACTCCCCGATTTAATGCAACCTGCAATCATCTTATAGCCTTGTCACAATCGTCACTGATATAATAACCTACCCTTTATTCACTGCTCGCTCCCTTTCGCACATTATTCCTGACAGGATATGCGAAAGGGACATAATATCACGCGTAATAATTTCTTTTATTTGTTTATTGACACAAGTTATACAAATCGAAACTGTTCATAGCCTTAAGCATAAGTGAATAAGCTGTTGGTTACAATGACTCAAACACGACTGAATACGTGTACAGTCTTATATGTATTATTTTAATATTATTTAAATTGTGGTCAATGTATTAGGGCTTCTCTACTCATTCGTGTTATAGTCAAACAGGACTTCAAAATCTCCTAGTAAAAAAAAAGTCGATGTGATCTAGTTGTTAAGCAAAAAGTCCATTTAGCTAGCTATACTATAGAATTAAGCATTTCAGCTTGTCTGTATAACAGTGTAACTTTAATAAACTACACTGTTATTGAGCGTTATTTTTTCTATAAAATGGACAGTTTTTGTCCTGAAAATTGGTAATATATAGATTGATTTCAAACAAATGCAGATGATCTCTCTTAGGTTATTTAATAACAGTTAGCCACAATTTTATCCAAATTTAAATTAGTAGAATTGAGGTCCATTGTCATAACACTGTGTCATTTCACTTTTTCAGAGACTTGTATTGCTAGCTCATTTAATCAAGTAAATAAACTCATAACGCCTAAGTGCTGTGTATATTATTATCTACTTATACGTGCAAAAGAAATTTTCTCCGTTAACACATTAATATAGAGTTCAAAATACGTTTTCACCAAACTCGTCTCCCGCAGACAACGGCTGGAGTTGATGCGTGAGATGTACCACAACGAGGCGGAGTTGTCGCCCACCTCGCCGGATCACAACATCGAATCCGTCACCGGCGGTGATCCGTTCTACGACCGGTTCCCTTGGTTCCGTCTGGTTGGAAGGTAAGTTGAATATATTAGTCAAGAATAATAATATAATTAATGAGATTTAAATAAAATAATGCCATTCCTTGAAGGAATAAGAGTAGGTAGCTAGCTATTTTTAAAAGGTACCTTGGTGCTCCTTAAAGGTCTTAGTCCGCAAACATGACTCCAATCTCAACCGGCAAAAGAATATAAATCAAATTATGGGCTTTAATATTGCTTTTTTATAAATACGTTACATAGCAACATAAATAAGCTCTATAGTTAACGCCTCGCTTATTATGCGTTGCAAACATGCGGTGTCCGCGCGCTGGCTGCTCTGGTAATTTATCTACCAAACAATTCGCTAACAGCTGGCTGTCGGCGCGTGGTCAGCAGGGTAATTGGGCTAAGACGAAAATAATCTTAGCCCAAAGGAGAAAAAAGTCTGGGATGTATAATATTAGTTGTTAACGAGTTCATAGTTTGAGATGAGAACAAGAAATATCGTGTTCGTAAGTGCACTTTATGCACATTTCATACTGCACTTGATAAATTTAGGTTAGGGCACATAATTCGCCTGAGATAGTGACCTCCGTCTTAAAATACAATGATGTGTCAATTTAACTTATGAAATTGAAGTATCATGCTTAAGTTCTATAAGGAAAACTTAATTCAGTTTTGCTATCAATATTTTGTCTCCAGGAGCTTCGTTTACCTTTCAAACTTGCTGTACCCTGTTCCGCTCATTCACAAAGTGGCTATCGTGAACGAGAAAGGAGACGTTAAGGGCTACCTTCGCGTGGCCGTGCAAGCAGTCATCGACGCCGACAAAAGTAAGTTCATCATCAGCCTGCAAAACATTACAGAGGCAATCTAGTACGTCTATATGTAGGTTCAGGATCACTTAGGCACTGTTCCTACGAGCAAAGAATGGAATGAACCCGCGAGACAAGATATTTATTATATCAGCTGCCTATTATCTAACTTGTTACTGATTTATGAACGGCTACCCAAAGTAAAAAGAACAAAAAAGACTCGATATTGAATTTTGAATTTTTTAACTATTAACTCTTTTCCGGTCAGACAACGCCGAATTCGTGGCAGGCGTAAAGCAGTCCGCCAAGATATCGTTCGATGATGACGTGGCACCGGCGCGCTCTAGGCTTAAGGCTCTTGGTGGCACCGGCGTAGTGGAGAAGAACAATGCCCTAAACCTGGAGGAGAGAATCGTCGACAACCAGGATTCCAACATCAAGATAGAAGGTTAGTAATTGGTACTGCCAGCGGAGATGAGTCTGCTCTATACTACTTAATTGATGTATAACATCTTTCCTCTCGGTTTCGTGCAATTTGTGGGAGTGATTACGTGAAGTGGGACTAGAAGTGTGTAACAGGAAGTTTGGGAAGCGCGCGCTATTTGATTTGATTTTGATTGAACATAATGTTGAAATGGTTTATTCCTTATGTAGTAGATTATATTTCTTTTTTTACTTTTTTGTGAGGTTTCAAATGTTACACATCATACTCGACTACTGACTCGCTCGTTTTTTTATCGAAATGTTATCTCGTTATACTTTATATAAATAACTAATAATTTGTATTTTTACTAAATGACAGAGCAATCAAAATGTGAGTGGACGTTGTATTGGTAGCGGCATGATTTTACGAAAATATTGCTACTTCTGTTAAATGCTGTTGAGTTTCTCGTGCCCATTCTTCTCATTAGCTAAAAAATTTCCTGGATAGGTGATAGGAAAAATATTGGACGATTCAAAAGAGCTTTAAATAAGTCAATTTGAATAAAGTATAATTTCATTGCATTTAAGTTATATTGTACATCAAGAAAGAAAGAAGGAAAAAATAAGAAAAATATTTAAAAAAAACCAGAATAAATAAGAAAAATATTTATTTAAGACATAGCACGACAATAAATAAGGAGCTCGATGGCGCAAATGGTTAGTGCGTTCAATCTTTGAGCAAATAACGCATCTTAAGCCCACGCAGCTCAGTCGGTTATTCATTCACTTATAAATACAATGTCCACTTTACTGCTGCCTTTATCTGCAATTAACTTCAGAGTGCAATAACCAGATTGGTTAATTTATTGGTCATTATAAGCGCATTGACTGCAAAGGTCAAACTTTAATTATTGTTTTATACAATTTGGGCCGCATTAATTTGACGAAAAAGGTTGTAGTGGGTCACCCGTAAAAATAGATTTTTGCTGTTCCAGACCTTTTTATAGAACTCTTAAAGGAAAACAATTACGTTATACATGATCTTTGGGTAACTTTTACCGTTTATGCAATGGAAGCGACGAATGGAATATTTTTCCCCGTTTTTGAATCATTTTTCATTGGTGCTCGCTCTCTTATTAGTCGTAGCGTTATATAGCCTATAATTTATTATTTTTATTCTCAATAGTTCCTGAGATTAGCGCGTTTAACCAAACAAAACTTTCATCTTTATAATATTAAGTATAGATAAATTTTATTTGTAACAACAGAATTGGCCGTGGGAGAGTGTGACGCTGACAGCGGTCGCGGGGACAGTTCCTTAGCATCCGAGCTGAAGGATGAAGATCTGCCTGAACATCTTACGCTGGGCAGAGAGTTCACGTTCCGTGTAACTGTTCTTCAGGCACACGCCGTCGCCACAGACTACGCGGATGTCTTCTGCCAATTCAAGTAATTTTTGCCATTTATTATTATGCTGCGATCGTTGAAGTTAAGAAACTTTCGCAGTGGTCGGTCATTGGATGGGTGACCAAAAATTTACTGTCTCGAGCTCCTCCGTGCTTTTAAGGCACGTTAAGCCTTTGGTCCCGGCTGCATCTGCAGTCGTTAGGACCCGCTAATCCGCACCGGGCCCGTGTGTGGGTCATAGCCCAAACTCCCTATTTCATCTATTGGGATGGCCTGTGCCCTAGAAGTGGGAATATTAATAGTTGAATGATGATGATTATATAGAAGGCGATTGAAAATTAGTGGCGCTTGTGAAGTTGGAGCAAATCGCGACGCGACTCGCGAAGCAATTGAAATGTTGGGTTATGTAGACGCACGGGACATCACTGACTTGAAGCACAGTTCGCTCGTTGTTAACTTCACAACTGTCATAAAGTTTGGATCGCGCTATACCTGTACCCCTAGCACGAACTAATATCGAATTCGAATTGTTTGCGAATCCGAAATGTCATTGTCAAATTTTGTATGGAAACTTGATCAGCACATGTGACAATGATTGATGTATCATGCCACAATCAAAATCATCATAATTGTACAAATTTGACGTCTGTGTAGTGGTTCGCACTGCAAGTCTTGAGTCGCCTTTATGAGTTGAATTTGAACTCTCTCTATGCTTTAGTTCTCGTTCTAAGACCTGCCATCATGTTTTTAAGTATAATTCCCCCTTGGAAGACTATATAGATTCTAGTCTATACAGCCAGTGTTTGGTATTATTTTCTTTTCCTTATTTTCACAGCATTTCTTTGTTGCAGTTTCTTGCATCGCAACGAGGACGCATTCTCAACAGAACCCGTCAAGAATACAGGGAAAAACACGCCGCTCGGATTCTACCACGTACAAAATGTAAAAAAATGTTACCTTTATTTAGAAGGCATTTTTTAATCTGTTTTAATTATTCTTAAATCAAATCGTTCTCTTGAGACCATTTAATAAATTCTATTTTGACGGTCCCTTCTCATATTTGTAAATTTAAAAAACAATCTTTTCCAGATTAATTTGTTTAACATATTAAATTCCTCATAATCTTTATGTTATTATATGGAGACAAAATTTGGTCATAACGCATATCCTTTGTGTAACAGATCACGGTTCCAATAACGAAGTCATTTGTTGAGTATATCAAGACGCAGCCAATTGTATTTGAGGTCTTCGGTCATTACCAACAACACCCACTTCACAAGGTATGTTTACTTGGATCATTATGTAGCTAATACTCTGAACTTAGTCCTTGGTATGTTCAAGTTGATGACTCTTATTGTTCTAAAAATGTGGCATAAAATGTTTTAGTTTTTGCAAATAATTTCTCTTCCTCCAAGGTCTAGTGTGTAGTTAGTGAGTAGTTCTCTCCCTTTTTTTACTTTCATTTAAAATTGAACTGAGCCACTTTATTGTCGTTTCCACAAATGCATTAAATTTTCGACATTATCTTCTATCTTCTTATAGTAGTTTCATTGTAAGTAAAATAAATGTGTTATTGCTATTTGCCTATCTTTCTCTTGTCTATACGGAGACTTTAAGAGTGTGCTCCAGATCGGCTTGTGCTCTTATTTGTAGTAGTAGCTGATAGAAAAATGATTTCTCTTTACAATTGCTCACAGTTTCTGATGGGATCTCACATATATCAAGTTTGGCCGTCTAACGAGAGCCAGGTTATTATTATACATATACTTTAAGATAAATTTCTGCATGAAGACTGAAGAACATAGTCTGAAAAATTGAGGTGGTATGTGGAATTACAAAGGGATGTAACTTTTGTAAGATTAGTCCAGATTTTATGCCATCAATTTCGTGTATTATTTACCTTAAAACAAAAAAGAATATCTTTGCAGACATAGTCCTTTTACAGTAAAGGATGAGTTCGTTAAACATATACCGCTTTATTACAAAACGTAGACTACATTAAACCAGGACGAAGGGCCCGTTGTTTAATCGATAGTAAAATTTGACTATTTGTCAATTTGACAATTTGTTATCTAACAATAGTTAACCCCATATTACGTAGTTAAAAAAATAAGCGATTTTTTTTCAAAACTTTTTTAACTATAGTTAGAGTTCACAATGTAAATAATGTTGCAGCGTTTCAAATATTGTAAATTATTATATGTACCGATTTTTAAATAACGGGTTGGAAGATACATCAGTCAAAATGTCTATTTTCCGATTCAATATAATTACTCACTTGAATATCTTTTGGTTTTCCATGTTTTCTTACTGTTTACCTTTATGCTGCCTTTTCTTTACGAAATAATAATAAAATCAGCAATATTCGTGATATTTTAGGAGAAATTATAATTTTTCAGTATGACAGATCCGTTATGAAATCGTCAAACACACCATAGTGATTACAGAATTACTGATCACTTTCTCTATAAAACGCTATGAATGATGTGTCTTACTAATCGTTATATAAAAACCGGTACAAAGAAAAAAATACCATATTTGTAATGTTGCAACATTATTTACTATTGTCAACATTAACAAATGTTAAAAATATTTTGAAAAATGGTCATCTGATTTAACTACGTAATATGTGGTTAACTATTGTTAAAAACAAATGGTCAATTGACAAATAGTCAAATATTACTATTGATAAACAACGGGCCCTTAAACAGATGCTGTAAGTTTTGTCCGTTAAAACAATGACAGAGATAATATTAGGTTTAAACCAAGAGTAACTTTAGTCCACGTTTTGGAATAAGGTGGATATTCCAGTGCATGTGAGGATGAACCAGGGCTTCGAAAGAACGGTTATATTGATCAGTTATATTATGATAAGGCAATATCTAGGAAATGGTGATCATAGAATAGGCCGCGTTAATGATACTTCTTTGTTTCACTTGTGTATATACTATATAAAATTTGGTAGTCGCTTACCATCAGGCAGGCAATACGCTTGTTTGCCGCTCTTTTTTCACAAAAATAGTAAATCGTGGAGGTAGTTGGTGGTTGGTGATGGTTAACATACTGAAATTATTATATAGAGGTTGTACAAAACAATGGAACATCTGATTAAAAAGGGATATTGTGTATTGAAATTCAACGGAAATAACTGAAAGCTATTGATTCAAATTTAAATGACTTACGCGTTTAGCACACTCATGCGGCGAAACGCGGTAGCGAAATTACGGTAATCTGTTGTACGTTATAATATTTTACGCACATGTTGCATTTCGCTTTGTCTGTGATTTCCTATAAATGCATCTATCTATAATGCAATTTCATAACGTACCTCCAACTAGCCTAAGATATAATAGAAGAAATTCGACACGGCCATTAAGGTCGCTGTAGCATAATTGGTCATCCGAGCGGATAGTCGAGGGTGCTGGTTCGAGTCAATGGGACTCGTACCTGCTGCCCGCACCGTGTGCATTTTTATCTAGTAAAATTTTCTTAAGTTTTAAACGTTTATTAGTGCTAAAAAATAACATATAAGACATCTCCAGCTGTTCTATTGTTTTGTATACCATTCTTATTTATGGCGATGAGTCCAAGGCCATTCTATGTTGGTAGGACGCGAAGCAGGACGGCGTAGTGGGCGGTCGTACTCCACCTCGTCGGATGCTGCCTCCGTCGATCCCCATATCGGCGCCCGTGCGGAGCCCTAAGTGGGGCGCGGCCTCCGTCGCGCCGCCTTGCTGCTCCAGCCATCTGCACTCCAAGCACGACCTGCTCGTGTGGTTCGAGATCTGCGAGCTGGCGCCAAGTGGAGAGTATGTGCCTGCGGTAAGTTACCATCAGCCAACTCTAGACACTATGCGACGAGGGCAGACTGCTGCTTCAGCTATCTGCACTCCAAGCACGACTTGCTCGTGTGGTTAGAGATCTGCGAGCTGGCGCCAAGTGGAGAGTATGTGCCTGCGGTAAGTTACCATCAGCCAACTCTAGACACTATGCGACGAGGGCAGACTGCTGCTCCAGCCATTTGCACTCCAAGCACGACTTGCTCGTGTGGTCCGAGATCTGCGAGCTGGCGCCAAGTGGAGAGTATGTGCCTGCGGTAAGTTACCATCAGCCAACTCTAGACACTATGCGACGAGGGCAGACTGCTGCTTCAGCTATCTGCACTCCAAGCACGACTTGCTCGTGTGGTTCGAGATCTGCGAGCTGGCGCCAAGTGGAGAGTATGTGCCTGCGGTAAGTTACCATCAGCCAACTCTAGACACTATGCGACGAGGGCAGACTGCTGCTCCAGCCATCTGCACTCCAAGCACGACTTGCTCGTGTGGTTCGAGATCTGCAAGCTGGCGCCAAGTGGAGAGTATGTGCCTGCGGTAAGTTACCATCGGCCAACCCTAGACACTATGCGGCGAGGACAGACTGCTGCTCCAGTCATCTGCACTCAAAGCACGACTTGCTCGTGTGGTTCGAGATCTGCGAGCTGGCGCCAAGTGGAGAGTAAGTGCCCGCAGTGAGTGACCCTCGTACAAGCAAATTCTGCTGCAAGAATTTGAAAGTCAACTGTTTAGTTTATTTTCTACTGTCTGTTTCGATTATGTATATCACCATATGTCAACATAAAAAAAACGATAAATGTACGCTAGAACTTAATTTAACACCAGTCTCACCTCTTGCATTCTATATAGGGAATGACAAGGATACACTGTTGTTTAATTTAATTTTAGTTTTTGAGAATCATGCCAGAGTCGACACCATTGTTTAATTAATCTAATAAGAAGAAGAGTATAAAAATATAATAAATATTGAATACCCATTGCTGGTTTAGGTGGTTGAGCATAGCGACGAGTTGCCGTGCCGCGGTCTATACGTGCTGCACCAAGGAATACAGCGTCGTATTCGCATCACCATCCTACACGAGCCCTCACAAGATTTGCAGTGGACCGATGTCAGAGAGTTAGTCGTTGGTGAGTGTTCAATGGATGCCATTTTCAGCGGATAGGTTGTGATAAAAGCAACGATATGGTGGCGAGATTTACCCACGATAAGCAAATAGGCTATTTGACAGGATGTACTATATAAAATAAAGTACCAATAATTGTCGGCATCTTTAATTAAAATGAATATTACCAGCGATTTTACTGTTCTGCGAAAACAAATAATTAATAACTTTTCTTAATAATCATTGCATAATAATGATTTTTTGTTCTATGGTCACGTGACCGCAAACGCCGGAGAATGACGAAGACTTAAATGACGTCACACGCTAGTAAATTTCCGGTCAGAGTGACAATACATTGTAACGTTCGATGTTTTAATGACAATACTGTGACATCATATAGACGCCATAATGTCCAGATAAACGTTTCCGCGACAACTGAATTCGAATTTCGTTCTCCGAATTGGAATTTCGGACTTCGAGTTTTAATTTCGGCCTTCGTAAAGAAAAAAGCTAATTTTAAAGTTGCATATTATTCGATGAGGAGCTCGATGGTGGAGGCGGTTAGCGCGTTCGGCCTGCGATCGTGGGACTTAAGCCAGTTACGAAATGACCAAAAACTTATTATCTCGAGCTCCTCCTTGCTACGGTAGGCATAACCCACCCCACCCATCAATGCACGCGTCGTAGATCACAGCCAGATCTCCCTATTACATCCATTGGGAATGCCTGTGCCCCAGCCGTGGGTTATTAATAGGCTGATGATGAAGATGATATTATTCGTCAGGACGCATCCGCAACACACCGGAAGCGAATGAGGACACGACGGACGGTGACGAAGACGGTGCCCTTTCCCTGGGACTGTTCCCTGGCGAGCGGCCGACGCTCGATGACAGAGCCGTATTCAGGTAATACTTTGTTCTCAATCTGTTTCATATAAATTAAATATAGCTGGTTCGGGATTGGAACATTTGGTTTATTTTTATCTGTAACCGGATTTAAGGTAGGGCAAGCGGGGCTGCGTTGCGGCCCCCAAAAGATAGGAGCACCCACAATAGAGATTAAAAATGCAAATCGTAAGTGACCCGGAGTGCCAGATTTTAAAATGGGAGCGGGCCCCACTCCTTCGTTGTTCCAGGGCCTCCACACCTCTAAATCCGGCCCTGTATAAATAGTATAAAAAAAGGAATTTGTAAATGCATTTTCAATAGCTTATTTACTTATATAAAAACTTGCAACTCACACCTGGCTTTGCACGGCTGAAATTTATTTTATACGCGATATAAAAAGCATATGTTACTCAGAATGTACTATTTTAATTGTACAAGATTTTTTTAAATCGTTCTAGAAGATTTTTTATCCCATTATGTAGGGAATAAAAAATAAGAAAATAACTTTCTATTATATAACTAATTGTTATAACTATTTTAAGTCATTCCTTTGCCATATTGGTGAAACTATCATCTTACAATTCCACTACTGACAGCTTTTGTTTACCATTGTCTTTTTATTTTATTCTTTTTTATGTTAAATGTGTGCAAATAAGCTTATGGCCTTCCTGATAATAAGCGGCCACCATAGACTGTAGACGCTTGCGATATTAAAAATATCACTCACGCCCTGTTTCCTACCCTGACCCAAACCCGTACCCCGTGGAGTCTTGAAACCTTACTCACCGCCAGAAATACAACACTAACAAAAGGTAGTGTTAATTTACTTTGATCTTCTGTACGGTGAAGGTTAGTTCTCCAGACGGGCGCTTCAATCGGACGGGAAAATCCGCCATGCCCTACCTCTTTTAATAAGGATGACGACTATTTTTTTTTCTTCGTTTATCGGGGCGATTATCCAAAAAAATTGGACATGTCTTGTTTCTTTATTCACATTAATCAAAGCATTACAGAGATATGTACAATGTATATTGATTTGAAATGTCACATGGAGTCACGTTTTGGTAAAATTTTACCTACTTTTCTTTAACTACTTAGAAGCGACGTCACGATCCCCCACTCCCAACTAAACTTTTTTGTCATTTTATGGTTGATTAACCAAAGAAAAATCACCTGTGCATAATTTTTTTAAAATTTAACTGACGGACTAAATAGAATTTCGTTTACCCCGTCATCATCCCTTTTAAATTTCGCTGTGTAGGTTCGAAGCAGCGTGGGACAGCAGTTTGCACGGGTCCCCGCTACTGAACAGGGTCAGCGCCAACGGGGAGGTGGTGTATATCACCCTCAGCGCATATCTCGAGGTAAGTCACGCATACTGTCATTATAATAATACCTAATAAGGCATTGAGGAGCTCGATGGCGTGGTGGTTAGCGCGTTCGGTGGTCGGTCTTTGGATGGGTGACCAAAAATCTTCTATTTCGAGTTCCTCCGTGCTTGGGAGGGCACGTTAAGCCGTTGGTGCCGGCTGCATCTGCAGTCGTTAGCACCCGCCAATCCGCACTGGGCCCGCGTGTTGGGTCATGACCCAATCTCCCTATTCATTCCAGGGAAGGCCTGTGCCCCAGCAGTGGGGACATTAATAGGCTGTTGATGATTATGATGAAGGCATTTGACAGTAGGAAAAATAGAGTGCCAATTGTTGGCATCTGAATTTAGAATGTATATTGGCAGCGATTTTTACAGAAAAATATATTGTAAATTTTATTCAAACCACAAAAGAGAACATAGTTTTTTTTATCTATTGTCGGAGCCTAAACTGACGTCACACATAGGTAAACTTCCGGTCAAAGTGAAATTAGTTGGACCGTTTGATGTTTAAGTGATAGACGTGCCGTGCCATATGAAGCAGAATTTTTACACAAATACACAAATAAATAACGTAATATCGTTTTCAAAAAGTTGTTAAATACAGACATTAAACTCAAAAGCGTTTATTCAGTCTAGCCTGTTGCCTACCCTAATGACAGTTAAATGGTAGGTATGCTATCGAAGTTGTGTTAGGAACACTGTTTCAAAGTATAAAACTATGCTGTTTGTCTGTATATAAGTTAGATAAGTATTCTTTGTCTCAATCTAGCTCATAATCTATATGCGTACCAAATTTAATCCAAATCCGTTCAGTATTTTTTGTGTGATTGAGTAAAAAAATACAAACTTTCACATATTATAAATATTAGTAGGTTACCCCTTAATTTTCGTTTCGATAGTTCAACAACAATTTACAGTCATAACAAGTTCAGTCCCCACTCAAACTTGACTTGAGTTTCAAAGCTATGCGTCCGCTTAATTATCTAATGCGTAATTGAAATACTCTGAAGCGGCTCGACCGATTTTCGTGAAATTTTATATGCATATTCAGTAGGTCTGAGAATCGGACAACATCTATTTTTCATCCCCCTTATTGTTAAGAGTCCAAACTTAATTTTTTTTTGCCCAAATTCTTTTGATTTTATTTTTTTATGATAGATTATACAAAAATTCACACAACCCTAAATTTTCACCCTTCTACCACTAAACCCTATTTTTTATGGCGGTACGAAGTTCGCTGGGACAGCTAGTTTATCTATATATACCGCGTTAGGTGGAGAACTGCGGGCGGCCGGCTATCATCACGAAGGACCTTTCTGTAGTGGTGATAGGGCGCGAGGCTCGCTCGGGCCGCTCGCTCAAACGAGCGCTGTTCGGTTCGCGAGCCGCTCGCGCCGATCGCATCGCTGGACTGTACGAGCTTAGTCTGCATCGGGCGCTAGAACCAGGTATGTTCATAGAGGTATAAGAATAGAGTGGGGAAGGCGGCTCTATAGTGTCCGTCTAGTAGAAAGAGAAAGAAGATGAGAGACCGCTAGCTATCTCTCTCTCTTGTGACGCATGGCATCCAATGTCATCACATCGAAATAGTAAGATGCTTACGGTTGCTAATGCGCATGCGCGATTAGAGAAAGCTAGCGGTCTCTAATCTTCTTTCTCTTTCTATTAGAGAGACACTTCCACTTGTAGTAGAGTCTATATCTCCCCTACTCTATTCTTATACCACTATGGTTATGTTTCAATAAATGTATCAGTCCTGCTCTTATAATATAATAGGAATCATGACTAACTTTTTTTTCTTCAAGTATTTGGTAGATTATCATGTATTTTTTCTATTTTCACTTAAAACATTACAGAGTTGAAATATTATTGATTTGAAATATCGCATGACCAAGGCCAGGTCATGGCCCAAACTCCGTATTCCATACAAAGGGAAGGCCTGTGCCCCAGCAGTGGGGACATTAATAGACTGATGATAATGATTTTTAGATCGGACAGTGTAAATGGTTTCTTTTCAACTTTAGTTTATCTCTCAATGTGTTAAGATAAGCTGTTGGCCTTCCATGTAACCAAAATAAATAATTCTATTTTCGAATAGGTGTACAACGCCGTCAAAGACGCGTGTTAGATACGAGCGGAACCTATGTTCGAGGCGAAGAGAATCTACACGGTTGGAGGCCAAGGGGAGACTCGCTCATTTTCGACCATCAGGTAAATATTACCCTGATTTTTACCCCCTTTCTGTTCTTATAACGCCTCGGCTTTTTCAGCCTTCTTAGTGTAGCCCTCTCTTAACAACTTTCACTCATTGCGGCACTGAGCCATCTGTCTTAGCACGAACCAATATCGAATACGGATAGTTAATTTCAATCTCGATATGCGTCAAATGTCAAAAAGATATGTATCGAAGATTTTTAATTCTCTTTATATTCGTTGTAGCGATGTTCTAATTAAAATAATATACAAAACTTCTTGTCATTTGATCCTTATAGAGATTGAATTCAACGATCAAATTTGATATTAGTTCGTGCTATAGGTACTGTTTCCAATTTGGCACGGAGACATGCTACGGCATCCTTTCAGTGCATATGTGGTCTTCATTATGGGGTTTTTGCTTGGCAGCTTACATTCTACGAGACGAATTTTCGCATCGGGTTACATGTCGAGCCCAATTCCACTTAAGATGCGTTACTCATTTCGGCACATTTAAATAGTTTTGACAAATCAAATATCAGCAAATGAGTTCGGCTATCCATTCATTGGATAAGATAATGTTAAACGGAAATACCAGGTAATCCCATAAGCAGTGCGTGGATCGTAGTTTTTTCTCCCCGCCCACTTGATCGCAGTTTCCGTGGAACCACTTTTACAGTACAGTTCGTATACCATATTGTTTCTAATTCGTTGACCATAAACACATGAGCCTTTCTCGCCTATGCAGTTCGCTAGTTTGTTTCTCCTTTTAATAATAATAATCTTTTTTGTATAACACCACAAAGGACATAACAGTAAGATTACATTGACAGAGAGACATTACACAATGGGCGGCCTTATTGCTTTTGTTTTTTACTTAAAATGAGTTTGTTTTTCAAGTGGGAGTTAGAGAAGATGACCCGTCTTGAGCAAGTGAGTCGCACGCGACATTTCCTGGCGCTGCGCGAACGATTGCGACACGGACACGACAACGCGGTCGCGCCCAACGACTTCACCAAAACGGAGAAGGTAACTGATACTATAGTCTGTTTTTTAATCTCGGAGACAAAAATGACATTACCTGTGTTGCCGGTTTATTGCATTTCTGAAATAGTGATGTACATATATCGGTAATTGACGCTCATAAAATATTTAGTATCGTTTTTTATGTAAAAGAGTTTTAGTAAGCATAATGCTTACATATGCTATAGCAGTATAGAAAGAATAAAATATACCTTTTGTAGTTCGTTCTCTTAATAATGGATTTATCCAATAGCAATGCTTTTATTTCCTTTTTGTTAAAAAGTAGGGACATGTTGTTTTTTCGGCATCCATTTTGAAAACGAGCTTGTTTGGTAGTTGATGATTGAGCACACGGTCATTACAAAGCTGCGGCTGCGGTCGCTCGCGACTAGTTACTTAGTGCAAGAGAAGTCTTGAAGCGGTAATAACATCTTTCACGTTTTCCCACAGGAAGTATCGAATATGGCGGCAAAGGCTGCTTCAGAGTGCGCGCACGCACCGCGAGACGAATCCGTGTACGAGCCGTGGGAGATGACGGCCCGGGAGAAGGCGCTCGCGCTCAAGTACGTCAAGCTGATACAGGGTGAGTGCTGTGTTCATATATCGTTGCATATTTTTTATTTATGTACGCACTTCACTTGTCTATTCTATTCTTCTATTCGACGACCTCCATGGCCGAGTGGTTTGAACGGCGGGTTTCAAGGTGTCGCCTACTCGAGAGATCTGGGGTTCGCATCCCGGTGGGGGCAGATGTTTGTGTGATGAATACTAGCATTTGCATTCCAGTCATGGATGTTTAATATGTATTACTATATAAATATACTTTTACATGTACAGTATATGTATTCTATCCGTTACCCTAGTATCCCATAACACAAGCCTTATAGTGCTTACTTTGAGGCTAGGCTAATTGGTGTGAGTGTTGGAAATATTTATTTCATTTATATTTATTCGTATTTGCTAATATAAACTTGACAAGAGTTTGTCCTTATCAAGCTTTATAAGAAATTAAAAGGACATACTGATATTAAGGTTACAAATAGCAAACACGAATAGTCAAGGGAGGTGCTGGCATTAAGTAAATATTTTGGCATTTTACATTATTACTTGATTTATTTGGTTGTAAATTTTTACTCCTTACAGTAATGTGTACTTACTTAATTTTCAATTCATTCACAAGTACATATTGACTTTTTCAAATGGATCTTCTTTAAGTCAATGCATTTATTATAAAACAAAGGTGTCTGCGGTTTCACCTGCATTAATTTGAGGAAAATGGTTATAGGAGTAACCCTTAAAAGATAGATTTTGCTGTCGCGGACTTTTTTTATAGAAGTTTTAATAGGGAATGGTTCCGTCAAACATGATTTATGTGTAACTTTTACCGTTTATGCAGTGCACGCAACTGAAGCTCACAAATGGAATATTATTTTCAATTTTTGCAACATTTTTCATTGTGCTTCGCTCCTATTAGTCATCGCGTTATGTTGTATAGCCTTCCTCGAAACATAAACTATCCAAAAAAAACATGCCAATAGTTTCTGAGATTATCGCGTAAAACCAAACAAATGAACTCTTCAGCTGAATTGTATTATTTACTAGTGGCCCACCCTCGCTTCGCCTCGGTGTAGAGCTATTAGAATTTTTCTCACCTTTTAAACCTTCCCTAGACCTTCAAGAACATATCAAGACCAAGATAAGATAAATCCATTCAGCCGCTCTCGAGTTTTAGTGAGACTAACGAACAGCAATTGATTTTTATATATATAGATTAAACATACGCTATTGTTACAGGAAGGATAGGCTCACAAGGCAAGGATGTTGAGACGGCGGTTTCACCCGCCACGCCCGTCGACGAAGGAGTTTCTGCAGACATTTCCACACCCAGTCTACTATCGTCCATACACAGCGCTAGCAGCTTCGAGTAAGTCCCTTTAGGTTACCTACAATGCGAAGAGATGGCGCTGCCTTTCACCCTTAGAAATACAATAGTACGGTCAACGAGCAGAAAGAATTTTAGTACAATAACCCCACGCTACGCATCCTTATCGCTCGCACTTATGTTGCTGTCACGCTTCCACACAGTACTATACACGGTACGAGTGCGAGCGAGACAGCAACATAAGTGCTCGCGAGCGATAAGGATGGGTAGCGTGGGGTCATTGTACCAAATTCTTTCTGCTCGGCGACCGTACTTTAGAAGAAATTCGAGACCATTAACGTCGTGGTAGCATAGTCAGTGCATCCGGCCGGATAGCGGAGGGTTCGGGTTCGGGTTCGAGTCTCGTTTGCTGCCTGGACTGCGTGAAGTTTTTTCTAGTAAAATTTTCTTTTAAGTCCCTTTTCATTGTATTGTTCCCTTTAGACTTTCTCTAATGCTAGGATCATAGACATGGAGAATGGAATGAGCAACACACGCGTCAAAGTCACAACTCTCTAGAAAGAGAGAAAAAACATCCAAAACCTTTATGAACTACCAGCGGCCGCCTGCGATTTCATCCGCGTTAACTTTAGTATTATGAGAATCCCACAGGAACCTAACATTTTTCCGGGATAAAAAGTAATTTTTTGGTTGATTGACGTAAGAAAAACTATGTGTCTATTATTTTTTAATTTTACTTTGCCCCCTTATCACTCATACTGTTTTGTCCTTTTTGATTGGTTTAATTCTTTATCTCCTTTAGATTGTGCTCCCCTGAGCGCGCTTTCCTAGAGAAGTCAATGGTCCGTTGGGCGGGCAGCGTAGGCGTGATCGTATCCTCGTAGAATAAATATGTGTCTATTATTTTTAAATAATCTAACTATATATTGTTTTAAACTTTCATGGTCACTAACATTATAGCTATTAACGGGATTTTTACTATGTACCTTGTTGAGTAACTCAGAACTCAGTTACTCCGTGATCATGACGCTAGCAACAGTGCCGAAATATCGGAGACTCATAAAAAACAAGGTACATGGTAACAATCCCGGTAATAGCTATAATAATCTAACTGACGGAATAAATAGAAATTCGTTTACTTCGCCCCGTCATCACCCATATTGTTTTGTAATTTTTCATTGGTTTAATTTGTTTAAATGTCTCCTTTAGATTGTGCTCCCCCGAGCGCGCTTTACTAGAGAAGTCAATGGCCGGTTGGGCGGGCGGCGTAGGCGGGATCGTGGGCGGAGTGGCGACTGGTCCTGGGATCAGCGGAGCCCTGTACGTGCCCGACTGTGAGGAAGTCCGCGTGTCAGCTGCCGTGGCCAGGCGTGGACACCTCAATGTGCTGCAGCACGGAACGCATGGCTGGAAGAAGAGATGGCTGGTGAGTAAAAACCCTCCTATAAGATACCAATGATCGACCCTTTTTTGACTTGTACCATTTCATGGTGGGAGGGGGTCGTTGTCTCCCCCCCCCCCCCCCCCTCCTTCCCTGAGGACCGCGCCTGCTGATATGCGTCAAATTACAGATTTTTCTCGCATTTTAATAAGTTATCCCGCATAATGTTTCATTGTTAAACGGGTTCTACTGTAGTTATTATAACAGATCTGAATTAAGGAGCACGTTGGCGTAGGTGGTTAACGCGTGCGGCCTGCGATCGTAGAATTAAGCCACTTTCGCAATGGTTGGTCATTGGATGGGAGACCAAAGACTTAACGTCTCGAGCCCCTACGTGCGTGGAAGGCACGTTAAGCTGTTGGTCCCGGCTGCATCTGCAGTCGTTAGCACCCACCAATCCGCACTGGGCCCACCTGGTGGGTCATGGCCCAATCTCCCTACTCCATCTATAGGGAAGACCTGTGCCCCAGCAGTGGGGACATTAATAGGCCGATGATGATGATGTTCTGACGACCTCCGTGGCTGATTAGTATATACGCCGGGCTTAAATTTGTCGCCACTCAGAGGTCCCGGATTCGAATTCCGGTGGAAATTTAAATCAGTATGTATATTATATCCATTATCCTAGCATCCCATAACACAATACACCCTTATAGTGCTTACTTTGGGGCTAGGCTAATTTTTTTTTATTTATTTAAACTTTATTGCCAAACATAAGGAAACGGCAGACTTAATGCTATTGGCATTCTCTACCAGTATGAGACAAATAGTATGGCGATAGAGCAAAGTTGCTAAAAAATAAATAAAATGAACAATATCAAAATAACAGCAATAAAATAATAATAGCAGCATTTTACCTGAAATAAAATGCATATTAAAATACTTACCTCACTGAAAGCTTTATATTGAGATAGCACTTCCGTTTCCCGTCGAATTACCATCAGTTTCCGTACTTTTAATCACCTTGTATCCGGTCCAGTGGCGACACCTGGCAGAAGCGCGGCCATTTTTGTTTTCCTATGTTTTGACAGCGCCATATTAACTCATTGGCTCAATTATTTCACCAGGCTGAATTTAAAGTGAAAGCTTTCAGTGAGGTAAGTATTTTAATATGCATTTTATTTCAGGTAAAATGCTGCTATTAAACTACTTGACCGTCACTGAAAGCTTTATATTGAGACCTGTTTGTTATCGCCTGGTGATCGCCACGTACATAGATATATACGCCAATGTGACAATTTATGATAAATTTAAATATTAACATTTATCAGATTATATGAAACTGTATAAAGAAACGAGTAAGCTTAAAAGTGAATCAAATAATATTATTTGAATCACGCCTTTAATTTCTTCAAGCTTACGAAGCTACTTTAACATATGTATTAGCTGATCGCTATATTCCTTTGCTTAAAACTCGCGAAGTATATATATATACATATATATATATATATATATATATATATACTTCTACATATATTTGCTTTGTTAATGACCGGACGCTTCCTTGTGTAGCATTAATTTGTATCTTTGTATATCACAAATAAGGCGTACGAACGCGAGAAAAAGATGTAAAGTTGTTCGATACTGAGTCTTACATTTTACAAGACTGTACTTTTTACTTAAGTACCAAAAATCAGGGTCCCACTTACGATTACCATTATTCGGTACAAGTCACCAATCGGATTGTCTTTACTACTTTCACCTGTTTTGAACCAAAACAAGGCTAAACTAATCTTCGTCGGTACAAATACAATGCAGCAATGAAACAAATACAATGAACCAAATAATACGCAGCATAATTACTGTATGACGTTCAGAACAACATATATGACGAAGTATTTGAAACAGATCATTATGATGTAACGAGTACATTATTGAAGAAAAGGAAATAAGTTAACTTATAGACACAGAATAGTAGGTTACGGACTGATTCTTTAAAAACAATCGACTTCAATATATATATGTTTGCCAAGACAGGTGAGCTTAGGTAATTAGACTTATCATCCATTGGTATATCATGTAAAAACTACTGTTAAAAATAAGTCTCTCAAAAATCGTGTTAGTTCAGAGCCGAGTCCACAACTTGCGGGATTATTCCGATAAACATTCTTGTTCCTAGACCAATGTAACCACGCAAGCCAGCGTTTCCGAGCCATCTCATAGCTGTTTAAGACAGAGCTGTCGCTCTTTGTAGAATATGTTGAAAAGCGTAGTGCTAGCATATCTATTTGATTGAAGTGAAGATTGAAGTTAAGTGGTAGAGCCGTGTTCTTCAACTATACTTCCCAAGCTTTCATATTAGATTGGCGGGAAGTGATTGCAAGGTCGATTGCAGTGAATTCATAATTATTGTTAGAAGTAGGGAGTGGTTGATACAACCCCACGGAATGACAAAAATGTTGAAACCGATCAACTTCTGAAGTTTACGTTTTTACAACGAAATTCTCAGGTATAGTTTTTATATTGTTGCTGGGTTGCCGTGATAAATTATGCTATTACGAAGTTCAGACCAGATTTTATGAAATTCATTTGCCATCCTGGAATCTATAATTGATTGTAATTTTTCCTTTTGTTTTTCAGTTCTTAGATCTCAGTCATTTATATGTGTTACTTAATACTAAATAAAGATTTAGTTATTTATAACATTTACACAGCTTACATGAGGTGTGCATGTACTATGCGTAGGGTTTGAAGTATATTTATTCCAGACAGTCGTGGCAAGGTTAGAAAGCGTAAGTTTAATATTAAGAACAGTTTTCAGTAATTTTTACTAAAATAACATAAAGTGGATAATTGCATACAATGATCTTCAAAACCTTTCAAGAATTAGGTAGATCGTGCAATCTTTCTTCAGTACATAGCACCACTTATATATCAAAATGATCATGTTGGCCACCTCAGACACCACATACACGACATTTCTAATATTGCAAGATTCTCTCATTACGCGATCAAAAGAGTGAGCAACCCATTTGGTTTACTTTTGTTATTTTCAAGAGAAAATATGTTATCATCTATTTATCTGGCAGATAGTCCTTAAATTGCAGAAAACTTAGAATTCTTTACATATTTATAGTGTACTGCACTTGAGATTGGAGTTTGATATATATTGGATTTAGATAAACAAGCTTCTGAATGGCATGCGATACCATTAAATTTATTAAGAATTATTTATGGAGCTCCCAATTTATCAACTTACCTGCACTAAATTTTTTCAAACATTAATTGTTTCGATATTCCTTTTTCTTTTGAAATGTATTATATATTACGGTAGAACAACCGTAGTGATAGAGTCAACACTTCACACCAATTAGCCTAGCCTTATAATGGGCATTGAAAGGCTTGTGTTATGGGCTAACGCCTAGAAATGCATAATGATGATGCATAGATTAGTATGATTTTGAATTCATATTTGTTAACAACCAAAACTTAGGCACAGATACTCGTTTTTATCATACAATGATTTGCCCCACCGGGGTGAACCCAAGACCTCAGAGTATGCGACACCTTAAAAACCACGTACATTGCACTTCCCAACGGGGTACATCAACATTCGATGTTCGATCTTTATAGTCTATTAAGAGGGTAGTTTATAGCCGATACTTATGTGTGTACGCAAGCCATGAGCGGGTATGTTGCGTTGCGTTGATGTATGGATTTCCACGCGATGGAAGTAATGAATTATGTCAAGCGACATTTATTATATTTTCAATTTACTTATTTTTAATGTTTCGAATCGTTTACACTTTTACAGACCCCATGGTCACAAAAATAAATTATGAATCACGAATAGACTACATGTTAAATTATGCATAATTTGCTCCACTTGAGTGTCGTATGTTACCGGTGCTTCCATAATAGTACGAACTCCATAAGCGAACATGTTCTAACGAGAACATATATTGATATTCACGTAATGGAAATAATATATTATGTGTGATATGACCCCACAAGGGCGATTATAAGATTGATGAGGATATTTCTCTATCAACGATGTTTTGTTACTGATACTTGTATGTGTAGGCAAGCCATGGAAGGCAAGTCCTTATTCATAATGAGTTCCATACGGAGGAAGCAAATTATACATAATATGCCCCCGCGAGGGGCGGTCGGCGGTCATCAGTTTTGGTAATATGCACGCCGCGAAGGTGGTTTGCTACCGGTACTCGTATATGTAAGCAAGGCATTAGAGGTATTTCATAAGGTTTCACGTAGTGGAAACAAATTGTATATAATATGCACCCCGCGAGGGTGATTTGCTACCGGTACTCGTATATGTAGGCAAGGCATTAGAGGCATTTCATAAGGTTCCACGTAGTGGAAACTAATTGTACATAATATTCACCCCGCGAGGGTGATTTGCCACCGGTACTCGTATATGTAGGCAAGGCATTAGAGGCATTTAATAAGATTCCACGTAGTGGAAACAAATTATATATAATATGCACCCCGCGAGGGTGATTTGCCACCGCTACTCATATGTGTAGGTACGCCATGGGAGGGCATGTCCTGACACGCCTTGGGCTTCATGAGATGAAGCTTATGAATATCACTTGCCTCTGCGCGAGTTGCTCATTTGGTTGTTAAAATGTCAATCACTTAAATCCATGACAAATACTTACTTAATACGAGAAAAACAACCTCATAGATGGTATCTTATTAAGTGGTGCTTCATCACAGAGATCACTAACTTCTTAAGCAGTGCTTTAGTTTTTACTTTTTAGCTTTGTGCTAGCTGTAAAAGACCTAAGAAACGATTCTGTTATCTTATCACTTTCGTTATTAAAATTATCTGAGCAGGTGCCTTCCCGCAATGATTCATTTTTATTTTAGAAATATGCAATTGCTGAAAGAAAATTAATGTCAGGAACGTGATATATCATAAATTATCATCATACTTCTTTACCTCGTTGTTTGTTTCCAGGTTGATAAAGCCTGGACTATGATTATAATTTTTAATTTACATCAGCATATCATTTAAAATAAACGTTGAATGTCTTTCGAACAGAGCGTTCCTTTATCCTAGTTTAGTCACACGACTCATATGAGAATTTTTATTACGTGTATTGGTCAATAAAAATGTTAGAACTTTTTATTCATAAGCCTTTAGATATTGATAGCTGGCCATGTTCAGAAAACGGCATATCGACATTAGAAATACCTTATTAAGATTGTACATAGTTCACTTACCCCTCGAACAATCTTTTAATAAAAGGGCTGGAATATCAAGCTCGCTTATTTTTCTTGAGGCAGCGATGCCGCTTTCGTTATACCAGAAGACGACAAATTCTACCAATTATTACTGCAGCTGTTCGAAGAACAATAATGACACATCTTGCTGTTTTTGCCAATAATGCCAGTCAGTCGGCGGCTGAAAAGTCAATATTGACCGATATTCATTCACTCTAAACTGTAAAACAATTTAATTAAGTATTTTGTAATACATTTACCAATTTACTTTCACATTTACTTATACGGAAACATTAATTGAGTACCAAGAGAAAACACTCTTAAAATAGTTTTTATGATAAACGACCAAGACAGACGTAAAGTATTGCAAAATTTACTTTAATGTAGGTACTTTAATTTTTTAAACAAAACGCACCTTGAATTGCCGTCTAGTTTTACTCACGACTTATTATTACTTTTTCAAACAAGCGTATTGCACAATTTAACATATTGTTTTAAATATCCCTTATCACAAGGGCTGCAAAAACTATCAAAAGGAATAATAGTTTTACTTACGGTTCCTTCACTTTTAACACGTAAAGTACCTATTTGGAATAACACGAACGGCAAAAACCGTTAAAATAAAATAGTTTTACTTACAGTTTTATCACTTAATAATAATAAAACCTTTAAAATCTCACAACGATCGCTCAGATTGAGGACGTGTTGCTTCGACGGGAGTCAGAACGCCAATGAGTTAATATGGCGCTGTCAAAACATAGGAAAACAAAAATGGCCGCGCTTCTGCCAGGTGTCGCCACTGGACCGGATACAAGGTGATTAAAAGTACGGAAACTGATGGTAATTCGACGGGAAACGGAAGTGCTATCTCAATATAAAGCTTTCAGTGACGGTCAAGTAGTTTAATACTTAATTGATGCACTTATATAAAATACTCATATAACCATACATAAACATACACATATAAATATATATATATATATAATATATAGCTAATTGGTGTGAGCGTTGGAAATATTTATATATTTGTTTAATTACTTCAATAATTTCCGTTATACAGGTAGTGCGACGGCCATACGTGTTCATCTACCGCGACGAGCGCGACCCTATCGAGCGTGCGGTCATTAACCTCGCTAACGCTCACGTCGAATACTCCGAGGACCAAGAACAGATGGTCCGCATGCCCAATACGTTCAGGTAAATAAATATAAACAATAATAGCTAATCTATCTTATTGTAATCAAATTCGCGTTCTATCGTCTGCACCAAGGTGAGTGTTCTGAGGAGTTATTCTCTCTTATTCCACCTTCCCCTTTCCTTCAGAGGACCACGCGCGCTGGCTTACGTTGTCACCGTCTAACTGTGGCCACAATTCCAACGCGTACAAAGAAATTTGGTGACTCATTTGTTTGTCGCACTATCCGTAAATGGAATGCTCTGCTCGTTTACGTGTTCCCTCCCTCTTACAACCTTCCTTTAAAAGATCCTTTAAAAGAGGTGTGAAGAAGCAAAATTCAGGCCGGCAGGGTGAGGATGACTGGTGTGGCAGGTAAAACTGCTGTATCAGTTATCTTCGCATCTAGACTTCACCTTCACTTACATCAGTTGGGTTGGAGTCATTTGTCGGGCCTATCTTTAAAAAAAATATTTATGTAAATATATAAGAGATATCAAGAGTCTAATAAACATGCTTTTTTTTAAACTTCTAACCGATTTTCAATTGGTATTTTTAAAACTAAAAATGTTTTTGTCAATTATAACTAATTTGAATTATAACTGACTAAAGCAAAAAATTGATTGAATAAATTATAAATTTCATGATGATAATATAAAATATGAACTGATAAAACTTGCAGTTTGCGCAAATGAATGTTAATTAAACTTTTTTGATGTGTGTAATATACGCTCTGATGCAATTCAAAATTTGTAAATCTGAAGATTAATCAATATTTTATTTTCAATCAATTTAAAACTACCATTAAAAGAGTTCTTATTAATAAACTGTTCCAAACATTCCGGCAGGCTTTTTCTATATTTATGATGAAGATGAAATTATTTTGTATTGACACCGTAACAATATAATATTTTGTTAATATTGTTTCATAATTATTAACGCTGTGAAGTTTTTTTCGTCAGTTTTTCCACAGCTAAAAAAATTCCCTAACTAGTGGTAGGGAAAAAAGGACGATTCAAAAGCGTTGTAATGGACTAGAAATCTGCAAAATTTATCCACTAGGGGCGCTGTAATCGCTTGACCCAAAACTTCTATCAAATACATACTTGTTATATTATATTCATTTTCAAGCTTATTATTAAACAAATTACAAATGCATGCTTACCGACTAAAATATAATTTTATATGCTGCTTTGAAAAGGGGGGTAGAACTGAGCTGCTGTTAATATCATAGTATGTATCTGGGGCAGGTAATTGCATCTGGATGTCTTCATTTTGTTCAGATATAACTGCACCTAAATTAAAATTGCGGTCATATGCCTCAAGTCTGTAAAAATAACCAATGTTATACTTTCCATTTTAGCCTGAGGTAACCTAACTCCATGAGATGTCTTACTGATGCAAAAATAAGATAGCTTTGACTAATGAGTCCGCTAAAAGTTACTGAGATCCATAAACTGTTAAAATAATCATGGAAAATGCATTTATGTACCGAGAATGAGCATTGTAGCATAATAATAACAACAGTACCTTTCTACAAGATCAGATTTTCTGGCTTGCCCAGATGCTCCTCTCCTTTTTAACTCTGTTTTCAGCTGTTTTACAGACCATGTTGAATACATTTGCTCCACTTATTTAATATTTTTAACAACACAAAACTCGTTTAAAATTTGACAGCTGCGATATTCGGCTGTGGTTTGGGTCAAGCGTTTGCAGCGTCATCTATGTTGAGCTTTGCGTATACTTCTCCATTTGCATTTAATTTGAATCAAGATATTTTGACTTTTCTAGAGGATTTTTACAGTATTGGTTAATCTGATTTGTGACTGTATGTACCTACGGCCATTTAATTTACAATAACCGCTTTGTGTTAGTGTGGTGAGCAAGGAGCGCGGCTACTTGCTCCAGACGCTCGGCGACAAGGAAGTCCACGACTGGCTGTATGCCATCAACCCCCTGCTCGCCGGACAGATTAGGTAAGCTCACTGTGTTGTTGTACCATAGAGGTATAAGAATAGAGTAGGGGAGATATAGACTCTACTGCAAGTGGAAGTGTGCCTCTAATAGAAAGAGAAAGAAGATGAGAGACCGCTAGCTTTCTCTCTCTAATCGCACATGCGCATTGGCAACCGTAAGCATCTAACTATTTCGATGTGATGCCATTGGATACCATGCGTCACAAGAGAGAGAAATAGCTAGTGGTATCTCATCATCTTTCTCTTTCTACTAGACGGACACTTTTAGAGCCGCCTTTCCCACTCTATTCTTATACCTCTATGTGTTGTATACCTTCTATTTAGTATATTTACACTTGGATATTTGTGTTTGCTATTTGTAAACTTGACTTCAGTCTGTCCTTTTCATTCCTTGCAAAGCATGATAAGGACAGACTGTTGTCAGGGTTACAAATAGCAAACACGAATATCCAAGTGGAGTACCGGTATTAGAATAATCCTAATATTATCTTAGATATGAAAGTTTGTATGTTTGTTATGCTAGTACCTCTCTTGGCTATTCGTGCTTGCTATTTGTAGACTTGACATCAGTCAGTTTTTTTAATACCAAAGCATGATAGGGACAGACTATGTCAAGTTTACAAATAGCAAATACGAATAGCCGGTATTACATAATCACGCAAAAACTACTGATTCGATTTGGATGATTTTGGTAAGCATCTAGTTTATGACCTGGATTAGACAAGATATTTTTTTCCTGGAAAAATGTTAGGTTTCCGTAGGATCCTCTCAAAACTAAGTTAACGCGACGCAGTCGTGGGCGGGCTAGTAATTTATACAGAAGGAATAACAAAAGAGTACCAAAGTGCAATCGCTCTGTTCCACTTTCATTAATAATGTATCGGAAAAGTTAGATAAGTATAGCACTTTCCTTCTACAATTTCTAAGGTTGAACAATGCCGTTTTGACGGAAATTTTAAATAACAATACCGAAATATACGTTTACAGCTCCATGTTAAAACTGTCCAAATTTGAAACAACCAAAGTTTCTCTTTAAAACGCTTTAAATAATTTAATTGTAAGAATTTTAACCAAAAAGTAACACTAATAGACAACTTTGAAAAAATATCTGGATAAAATATGATCTACTGTCTCGCTTATACGTTTTTGATTGTGATGTGTTAAGAACATATCCATCTAGCTAATCAGTTTTAAATTTAGTATTCCTTCTATATAAATTGTTATTATATAGCATTTACCTCCTGCGAATTGCTATTTACTTAGGATAGCTACACACATACATACATGTCTACATAAGCGAACCGGCATTAATCGGCACAGCCGTGCGGTAGAATCAAATATGTGTAGATGAATGATCAGCAGTAATAACTATGGATTGGCTTTGTTATTCGACAAAATATACTGCCGATCCGGCAGTATAGTCGGCAGTGCCGAACCGACTATGCCGGCCCGATTATGTGTGTAGCTACCCTCACAAGTAATAGTTTCCAATCCAGTATTAAATTAAAATAACTGCCCTCAAGTTTTGATTATTATAATTGAATAGGTATATATACAATGAAAAGAAAAATATTTTTTATGTGCATGTTGATGTACCGTTTTTTATTATTTTTCTACTATGTACTTCAATTCTAAATTGATTCTCTATCATCTATTGTCTGTTTCTTTTTGAGTTGTAGTGGACTCGACCCTTTACTTATAACCAGTTCGCATATATAATTTTGAAATGCATTTGACTTGGTTGATATAAATGTAATGATGTTTATTGATGGATTAACCTTCTGGCATTTTACGGCCAGTCTTAATAATCAAATTTCAGTAAGAGAATCCTATTGAAGTTTTGTTGCCTAGATATTTTTATTATTTAGATTTTAATAACGACTATTCAAACAGACCCAGATCATCCTAAATTTTTACTAGAGGTTGATTATTTGGAACTGGCCGTTAGAAAGCAGGTGTGTTATCAGTAAAGGGTCCATCGCGCCCCTTGAGTGAACTCGACCCACGTCAATATACACGCATAAAGGTTTGCGCACACAGGTCGCGGTCCGCGCGCCGCGGCGACAAGCAGCTACCCGCGGCGACGCAAGCATGAGACAGCCTCACCATGGAGTCTATCCTCGTTTATTAGACGCGTCACTGACGCCCCGAGGCGTGCGCACCCCCATGTGAACGTCGCGCATCCTTTACATTGAAACGGCACACAGTCGCGACACTTTAATGTCCTCCCATGATAACATCGTCTACATAAACGAAGCGCTGCCAAATTATATTACTACTACTAATGCAATTTTTTCCGAATCTAAACTTTGTAGAAGCTTTGGATATTCCATATGGGCAATACTCTGATCGTTTGTTATTCAATTGACGTCTTAGAACATATCTTGAGTTTGAGTGTTTGTGCGAATGGGACTTGGCAATATCCCTTAGAGAAATCTAGGAGTTCGATATTGACTATGCGATGTGTAGTTTGTTTGTGGAAGGGGATGTTCTAAGTACGCAAGCGGTAACTGTGATTGGGAGGACATAAAGTGACCAATACCCAAGTCATTAAAGAGGCATTTCATCTGTGGCTGGTTTGGTAGAAAGGTTACGAAATGCACGTGCCTGCATGAAAAGATTTGTGGTCCATCACAGTTCGATTTTATTCCTCTTTATTTGTATGCAGGGACCACAATAACAAGGGAATAGATGAATTTGAATATCTGTAACTATTGAATCAATTATTTTTGCATATCCTCAAACTGTTAGCAGTATTATTGAAACCAGGTGCATTTAATGTGAAATACGTACCTAATGATATTTATATTGATGTTTTAAATTCTATTCTAATTCTATATGTATTTTACATTTTTATTACGGTTTCAAAATCAATACTCGATTGTCAAAATTGTGAGTAGTCGGGACCAAACCGGTGCACTGATAAACGGGATCGGGGTAAAAAGATGAGAGTAAATATTTACAGTGGGTCTAATTTTAATGATCGAACAATAATTTATTGGTAGAGTTAATGGTTTTGGCTGTTTCAATGTCTATTAGGAAAAGGATGCTCGTTGTTTATAAGCCCTTTTACATTTATTCTATTTGTATTATATAATATACAGCGGCCATGGGCCAAGTTTTGTAACCAGATTATAAAGTAAGATACATAAAGGCGGTTTTAGGAGAAGGTCACACAATGACGTGTAACACTCTAGTGTTTGTTGAAAAAAAATGTGGTTATATACTCGTGTCTTCTCCGTTGTTATTCAATTGTCATCAATGCTTTTCATGCCGCATTTTGTCGTATATAATGATAATACATACTACAACTGGTACAAATAAATGGCAAGGGCTGCTTAATGGCTCGTTGTCTAACTTTTTGTGCAATAAGCCAGAATTATTTGAGAGTTGCGCACAAGTGTATTTTGTCGGCGATATCTGATAGACTCCATTTTGTAAGGCGAGATATAAGAATTTAATATGAATTGTATTGTGAGAGGACAAATTACTGAAAATACTATTATAGATTTTCTTCTAATGTTGGATACATTTATTAATGTAATTTACCTTGTATATACGTATGACCCGAATGGTAGAATAAATATATTTTGAGGCTCAAAAGGCCAGTTGAAGATGGCGATAGTCCGTATTCGTATGATGTCATGCGTAATGTTTCATTTCACGTTTTAGTATTTATTGTAAATACATAACATTAATTATAACAACGTAGTTAAATGTAGACTATCAGTTATATGAAAAAATATATGTAAATCATTTTTTATTATTGTGATTTTTATTTATTTTTTTAGTTTGAAATCAATGTCTTGTGTTTGTATCAATTTATTGTGTTGAATAATTTTAAACTATTGTTTTTCTAAAGATTGTATAAAGTAGGTTAATGTGAACGTCTTTGTATTACATTTTCATTTCTCGAATATTCCCCGAATATTTAGTTGATGTCGCCAAGGTTCAAACATTCCAATTTGTATTATCTAGTCATGTACTCTCTGTGTAGTACATAATATGTGATAGGCGTAGCTCCATAGTAACATGAACGCTGTGCTGCAAACAATCACCTTGTAGTATGTTAATAGATGGTCTATGATACGTTTAACACAAATACAAGCGAGTTCACAAGGTCGTTCTTATTGTCCATAGGTCACTATATTTATACAAAAGTACATTTATATCATTGTAGTTAGATAATGTATGTGACAGTAGTTTTATATGGATGATGTTTACTTTCTTTCGTCTCAAGAGTCTGTTGTAAGTCCGTGCATTATTGAAAATCTTGTTACTGCTTCGATAAATGTTGAAAAAAAAATTATGATATATTTGTCACTGTACTATCGCTTTTAGGTGACTATTTTTCCCATTCGTAATAAATAAAAGACATAGCTATAATTGACAACATTTTAAGCTTACGTGACTCTCAGTCATTGTAAATAATTTAACATCTGGTATAGGTAGCGGCAAACTTCTTTGGCAAAAAATCACAGACAAATAAACTAGCGCAGTAGCCATTTTTGTATGTAAAATTGACACTGCGCAGGCTTCCTTGTCTATGGTCGTTGCTCAAAAAGTTTGCCGGGGTGTATACTTGTATTGTTTACAGGTGTTCTCTTTAGCTTTGTTTTAATTTAAGTCATGTCACCGGCTTTACACACTGAATAGTAGACATACTTGGCTAAACACTAGGAAATATCCTGATAATAATTTAGCATAGACTAAAATAAAATAGTTTTAAGATCAAAAGTATTATCCAAATTAGACATGCTGTGTGTTAAAATATTTCTTAACATTGAAAAATAATACATACAAGTTATCTACGTGGTGGAGAGTGTATTAATTAAGTGTTTCTGTTTCTATGAATCGACTATGATGTTAATTATTTTCTTCCACTTATTGTACATTTTGGCGTAATATTTCTGGGAGTTTTGAAGCTTTTGAATGTCCAAAACATTATTGTAGAGTACGTCCTATTTCTCCAAAGTAATTAATTTATTTAGAAATCTTCTTAATGTATTTATTTATATTAAAAATGTAAACGAATAAATAAGATCTCAAACGGAAACGACACAAAATACAATACGGAATACTTTTTTATCTAGTCATATTATGTTTTACATTCCAAAGGGTATTCGGTAACTACTTTTTTTATTTTCAAATATTAGAATAATGTATTTTGCATAGCAAAATGGTGTTTACGTAGTTAATAGCGGTCAGAGTTATAAAAATCACGAGTGAATGACGCGGCAAGTGAGTGGTATAATTATTTGGGACTTATTTATATTATCAGTTCACGGACTTGGCTTGCAAAGTATATATTTTATTTAATCCTTAAATTATGAAGTTGAAATTAGAGATTACAGCCGGATTAGGCTGGGATTATATTTTTATAGAGTATACTGTTTAAGCTATATCCGCTATTTTTATAGGACTATCTGTTGTTTTGGAAGTTTAATTTCACTGTTTATCGTATTATTTATTTTTAATGATGGTTGTTTGTAACTGTTTTCGCGATACTGAGCTTGTATACTTTGTTCTGTGGTTGGTAGGAGCGCGGGCGGTTGGTCGACCCTTGTGATTTTGATAGATTGTTGATTGTTGGGCGAGAATGATATTTGAGAAATTATATATTCTATATATAATTTATGGATTTCATTCAATTTATGAAAATAAGAACAATGTAATGATTGGTAATATTACTCATTGCTCTAAATGTACTATCAAAATATATTATACACAGTGTTAAAGGTCATAAATAAAATGCTTTGAAAATTTCCACACCATTGTTTTTGTTCGTCATTGGGTTTTGAACAATTCTTCTTACATCCAGCTTGCCAAAAATTTAAAAGTAAGTAAGTTTGGTTAATTTTTTTCTTATGTTGTGTTTTCAGTGTAATCTGTTTTAAAAGAACCTTTTTTTCAGTCTTTTTATTCCGCTCGTGTTAGTAATTAAACAAAGGAATCGCAAATGACTACGTAAGACATTCGGTCCCTCTCACGCAAGCTATCCTAAGTAACGTGCAAAGGAGACAAATTGTCTTGTCGGTATCTGCGGTCGGCATGAAAAAAACGTTCTTTTAAAACAGACTACGCTGGAAACACAACATAGGAAAAATTTAAACTAAGCTAAATTACCTGGACATTAGGTAAAAAATTACATGCAACTTGAACAAACCTGCATACAAGCTACAAGGTGCGTGTTAGTTGTACATTTTTGTTCAAGTGACGCACAAATTGAAAGCGCAAACGTTATTTGCACGTTTCACTTAGTTGCACGTTTAAACGTGAATCTACTCAATAGGCAACATCACCACTTGTATGCCAAGTAAAACCTTACACATTCTCGAAAATATAAATTCAATGCTAGCAACTTGCATCCAAATGTCATACTTGTAAGCAAGACTTACGTACTGGAATCGCGCCCTATTTTGAAGAAATAGATTAAAGGTCATGCACACGTGTCAAGTTGGAAGCGAATTGATACCGACTCGCCTTTTAGCTTGCCGTTAAACAGACGTCCTACGATATTTGAGCCTAATAGAGAAAGCGGATAAGCAAGCAGCTCCAGTAGGTCGACTCGGCTACGGCTAGGTGACACCGCGCTTATGGCTAAATTAAGTTGTCCAATCAGTTTGGATTCGTATGGTAGTCAGCGGGAGGGGAGCGGACGAAGAGACATAGGGTGTATTCCGAAATATAAACCAGTACGCTGGCCAGTGGTAATGACGTGATGATTTCGACGCCATATTGCACTGGTGTAGTAGTAGTGTTGTCAATATGGCGTCGAAATCATGACGTCATTACCACTGGCCAGCGTACTGGTGTTTGATTCGGAATACACCCATAAGCTAGGGTACAGAGAGATGTAAACGTGGGAACTACAAATTGAATATGCACCACGGCTCGGCGGCTTGTCCCGAGTTGAGGCGATTACGTTACCATTCTGATAAGTGTGCGTTATTCTGGAATTGCATACAAATAATAGGTACTGAAAGGCTCGAGTTGAACTGTGACGATCCCTTTCCGAGTTGATACAGTCAGTTACTCGAGAACGTACGGGCTATAACTTCAAAATTAGGGGTCAGGGGTAGAGGGGGATGTCATTTTTGAGATCAGGAGACACAACTCCATCATGCATCGATGTTAACTCCTAACCCGTTATGCTCGACTCATTAGAGTGCAGCAACTGCTGCACAAGCTGCAGCGTGACGTCTATGCCTGCACGTCGGTCCGATGCACATTTAGTGCACATGCAGCTTGCTAGAGCGCCGATCGTGACCTTAGCTCATACGCGAGTTGGGATACCTACTGGACGCGGTGTCGCGTCAGCTTATTCTATGTCAATGAAACCAACAAGTATACATAATAATTTTTATTTCAAAAAGTAAAACAAATAAAAAGCATCGCTATAATGAGCGAACCTAAATACCGCACAGGTGACAAAGGACATGTAATGACTATCTCAAACAGTATTAAGGTACTTGTGATAATTAAAATCTTTAGTATTAATTCGGATCTGGTAGGCCACCGAGGAATCCAATTCCTCAGGTCCCCATCAGCGATGTTCTCTTGACGACGTGGGAGTCTCGTGTCGGTATTGTGTCGCCTTTCTGTGCTCTCCTCAAACGGGATCCGGTCGGATCGGTGACCTGTAAACAGATAAATTGTCATTAATTTTGTTGGACCTCACAAGACGTTCCGATGGGTTGGCGCACACGATAACGTTTTTGCTCAGAATAACGTTGATATGAGTTTGTAGAAATGATATACTCACTTCTTAGCATCTTGGGCATTTTGCAGTCTTTGGCAGTCACGATCTAGTACCGCACGGTTTACAGATCAAACACAACCGACATCTTAAACACTGTCCAGCCTATTCATGGAGTTTAAAACTACCAGTATGTGTTCAGGTCCGGGCCACTGAGAAATCCAATTCGGGTCCCCAAGACCCGGGATTTCTTGACGACGTGGTGTTCACCTTCCGGGAGCCCGAATCGGCAGCGGGACCTCGTGGGATCGGTGAACTGTAAATTGAAAAATTGACATTAATTTCGTTGAAGCTTTTACAAAACGTTCCGGAGGGTTGGGTCACGCGCTAAACTCTTTGCTCAGAAGTTGCAAAACTATAAAGAAACTTGGACGTTGATATGAGTTTGTAGAAATGATATACTCACGTCTTGCGGGCGACAGGGCAACACCGGCATAGGTTCTGGCCTCGCGTCCGCAATCAGGACCAAAGTCATCAAGACCAGCAAACTGTTCATTCTGGAGAGCTTTGAGATCCACGATGGCGTAACTGTAAATGAAAAAGAAAAAAATATTAAAGTCAGACGTTAAAAAGGTCCGCCTACCCTGAAAGGAATGCGCAGGAGTACATAAAAATGCATAAAGTAATTGAAATAAATACTGGATACTTACATAGAAAGTCGACTTTGATATCGGCGGGGGTCACGGTGTTGCTCTGGCAGGACATGTTTACGGAGCGGCTGTCGATGAGCTTATAAAAATCAGGAGGGACCTAAGGGCGTTATATAGTGGCCCGCTGATACGAGTTGCCGTAAGTTAGGCACTGCAGTTGGATAAACTCATGACGCAATTTGAGGAAAAATAAAAAGAGAATAATCCTGAAATAAATTTAATCAATAATGGGGAAATTGCGATCGGATAATATATTTTTGCGTCATCTGTTAGAAATAATGGTGTAATTATTATTGGAATGCGCAATAACTATTTT